CTGTTTTCAGGGGCACAATACGGTGCTGTGAGCTGTGTGTGCAACAAATAACTTTCACAGTGAAGCAGTATTTTTAATGTCACTGCGTCCTTTATTTCCAGCTGTCCTAGTTGGGACGCATTATGCACTCAGCACACTGTATGAGCATGTGTGTAAGCGCGTGTGTGTTCAGGGTCACACGCTGAACTTAGAAATTTTGGCTGTGTTTTCAGAACAACGTTCAGTGTGCTCGCTCATTGAGGGCTCTGTGCCGCTCAGGCTTCTCTGCCAGCCAGGGGAGGTCAGGGTGGCCCCTCCAGGTGGAATCACATGACCCACGGTCTCCATGCCAACCTCAAGGCCACAGCCTGCACTTCCCTCTGCAGGCCCCGCCTTCACCCCAGCCAAATGGGCTGAGGTCTGCAGCCAGCAGTCCCAGCCTAGGGGCTCAGGAACACTCAGCAGAGGCTGTGTGTGTGTGTGTGGAGGTTTTGGCGCACCCCTAAGACAGCCAGAGGAGCAAATCCCAGGCCACCTGGTCCAGCCAGACTGTGGGTCCTAAGGGCTGAATCAGGAGACTGGGAGACTCAGAAGCCCTGACCCTGCCCTTTCCCTGAGTGCCCAGGAACGTGGCTGCCTGGGGGCATCAGCTCCCTGCATCCTGTGTCCTTGGTCCCCTTTGGCCCACTGCCCTCCTAGCAGAGGGGACACCTGGCCTAGGAGAGTACCCTGGCTCTCTCCTGAGGTTCCATGGCTGGCCTTGGCACCCGCCCTGCTCTTGCCTCTGGACCTGCTGCTGCTGCCTGAGGAGGGGGAGGGGCCCCTGCTGCAGCTGAGGTCAGGAAGGGAGGGAGCCTGGCCTTGTTGACACTGGCAGCCTCCAGCAACCCCAGTTAGCTGCTGTGAAGGCAGCAGGGCTTCCTGGAGATGACCTGGGTCACCCTGACACTTCCCTTGAGATGCCACAGCTGGCCCTCAAAAGAGGGTGAGATTTCCACCCCACCCCCCCAACAGCCCTCCTGACAGCTGTGGCTGGGTCCTCATCAGGACCTGGGCCAATAAAAGGCCTGCACTGCTGTGTAAGAAAGCTCCTCTCAGGGCTCTCATTGACCTGGTTAGTCTAGGAGGGCTCCCTCTGGTGTACCACCCCTCTGGCCTCACGGTCAGGTTAACATGAAGACTCCTCAGTGGCCGGTACCTACCAAACCGCAACTCAAGAGGGCAATACACAGCAGAGCTGTTAGTGCGAGACCAGCGACCAGCAAAGGTCAGCAACAGAGGACAGCACCCTGTAGAGTCAGCCCATGGTGTCCCACCCAAGCCAAGGTTCAGGCGGCAGTGACCAGCGGCAGTGACCAGCAGCTGGTGTTCTCAAAGGTCATTTGACAGCAAGGACCTAGTGCTAGCAGAGCTGAATATTTCCATCTAAATCGAGCAAAACTCTTGACTGATTTGCAGCAGCTTGGCTTTTCTAAAGAAAGAGTTGTGATCGCTAGAGCTTGGAAATGACTCAAATGTCCATCAACTGAGGAATGGATAGAAAAAGATATGGTGTTTGTACACAATGGAGTACTACTCAGCTGTAAAAAGGATAAACTAGAGGCTCTCATAGGTAAATGGATGCAAGTAAAGTCCATACTCATGAGTGAACTAAGTCACACTCACATGTGTAAACACCATATTGTCTCACTGGTGCAATACACTGAAAGTCAGTAAGATCCAAAAGTTACAATGAATGTAGTGAAAGGGAATGAAGTTATTCAAAAGGAAATTGTATTGTTTGATCAGTGCTGCATGCCTGTGTCTGGTAAGCTGAGCAACTATTTTGAAGATAATAATACCCCTTGCTAAGCTGATATCACTGTGTTTTGAAATCCTGTATCCCTCTTGTTTTGTTGTAGTTGTTGATGTTGATGATGTTGTTGCCAACTGGCTTTTGTTGTTGGTTTTTGCTTGTTTCATTGCCTTTTGACTTTTCTGTGCTTTTTTCTCCTTAAAATAGAAAAAATAAAGAGTAATTTTACTAAGCACCATAAAGCACTGTCAGGTTTGCTGAACAGTGAATTTGACTCTGTGGGTATGTAGAGTGGACACGGTCGCTGGCCCTGATGCTGACCCGGCCTTGCAGGAAGCCTCACAGGACAGAGAGAAGGAGCCACGTTTCCTGCTTCACTTGTCCTTTTATTAAACTGCCTGTTTCCTGCCCTGGGTGTGTAACTTGATAGTTATGAATTTGAAGTAAGCTGGTTACATAATTGACTTTGCATTCTCAAAAGCTGTCCTCATGTCTAGAAGAATAAAGTGTGTTTTGTTTCATTTTGTCTTGTTTTGGTCCTAGGATTCAAACTCAGGACCTTGAGCTTGCCAGGCAGACGCTGTAAAGTGGTTTTTTAAATGAGACTGGAACATTTCTCAAAAGATGAGAAAACATTCCCAAATTTTTGCCTACAGATAAAAACCAACAGTGTATATGTTTGCCATGGAAATAAAGTTAGCATATGCAAAGGCTTTGCATTTAGCCTAGCTGATTTGAAAAAAAACTATCAAGGAATGGGGCTGTGGAGGCTGAAAATGTGACTCTGGCAGAGTGCATTCTCAGTATGTGCTAAACTCGGTTTAATCCTGGTGTCAAATAAATTAACTAGCTAATTAATTAAAGTAAAAGAAGTGAACCTTTGCTTGTATCTATCACTGAGCTCTCCTCCCTTAGGGTAAGACAGCTGTCTCCGTGTGCATTTATGTCGCCGCATGGCCTTTATCCTGTAAGTAAGCTAGCTGACATTAATTTTACCATGTTGCAACAATTCTGTATTCCTATTCATGCAATTCTTGGATTGTCAAGTGTGCGGTAAGTGTACCTAAGTGGGTTCATCAGGTGTGACAAATCAGCTGAGAGCATTCGTTTATAATGAGAAAAGGTCTGTCAGGGTCATGTTTCAGGGATCAGGTCTGGTCAGCCCGCCTCCTGCTTGGGGCAGTGGGAGGCAGCAGGTGATGGAGAAGGCCGCTTACTGCTGGGGAGCAGAGAGAACCCAAGGGGCCAGGGCCACACATTGCCCTTCAAGGCCACGCCCCCAGTGAGCTCATTTCCTCCAAATAGGCCCCGCCTCTCCTAAGCCCCGCCCTCTGCCGACAGCACACAGTGGTGCCAGGCCCGAACACACCAGCTTGTAGCAGGTGCTCAGGTCCCAACTCATGCAGCAGGGACTCTGTAGAGGAGTGTTTTCCCTTCTCCGTTCTCTGCGTGTCCAGTAAGATTGGCGCGATGTGTGCTGCGAGTGCCACATTTGTGCCCCTGTAGGAATCCAGGTCCCACCCTTGGGTGCCAGCAGGCTGAGGAGGGAGGGAATGAAAGCTGAGCCCAGTGCAGTGCAGCACCACTGACCGGCCATCTGTGACCCCACCCTCCTCTCCCCAGACCAGCAGGGCGGCTGCGGGGGGGGGGGGGGGGCAGAGACCCTGACATCCTTCCTAGGGCTGCCTGCATCTCAGGCTCCCGACCCAGCACCCGTGGCCTGGGACCTGTGCGTGGGTAACCATGAAGGCTGACTCATTTCAGAGTGGGTTGTACAGACAGCTGGGGGCTGGGGTGTGGACATTAGGGACGGTTTTGTCCTTCTGTTCTCTTTTGTGTCATTGGGAATTAAACCTGGGGTTACAGGCCAATGCCACCAGGCTCTCCCCGAGCTCTTCCCATTGCAGGACTGACAGAGGCACTGGACTTCCCTCCCAGGGCTGAGTGCAGGAGAGAGCGGTGAGAACACTGATGCTGGACGGTTAAGAGACTCCACTCACGCCAACAGCCCTTGTCCCGTCCCCTCCTGGACCAGCCCCACACTCTGGTCTCTGCAATTCCTCAATTCCACCCCACTGTGGTCCTTGTTCCAATCTTTGTCCTAATTCTTTCAAAACCACCTAGCATGCTACACAGAGGGAGAAAGGTGCTATGGCTCGGATGGGCCCTGTCCCAAAGGGTCACTGTGGGTGGCTTGGGCCCCAGGGTGGCAGTGTTGTGGTGATGGACCCTGAAAGAGACCCGTCCTGGAGGAGGCCGTGGGGGCAGAGAGCGTGCCTCCTTTCAGGAGGCTAAGGCAGGGACCAGAGTAGTTTCCTCTGGTCATTACAGGGAGCCTGCAGCTCTAAACTCTGACATGTCCTCACCCTCGTGATGTCACTGTCATGGCCCGCGTGGGAGCTCAGCAGAGCCAGCACCACGCTTTGGGTCTTCCTGAACTGGAGCCAAACAAATCTTTTGTTTAATACAAAGCCCCAGCCTCAGGCATTCATTACAGCAATGGAAACTGACCCGGCATGAGCCGCAAAACCACCAAACCCTTCCCCTGTCCTCTCCTCGTCTTAGTCCGATTTGGCATTTTCCCCATGCTCCCTGGTTCCATCTGTCACCTCCACCAGGAGAAAGAGGATCAGCTGCAGCAGGGACTCATGAGCAGCACTGGTAAGGCGAGAGGGCCCAGGCTTATGGTGATGCCGACAGGCAGTGAGGTCCCTCCCATGGGCATGACACTGCCCCATGAACTGGCCCATCTGTCAGTCCCTTACTATAGGACGCTGTAGCTGTATTTCTAGGAAGGGATTCAGGCGACTGCAGAAACCTCAGCCACCACTTCCTGTGTGTAATAATTGTCACAGTTCTAACATGCCACTGTCGTAAACCCCCTTCCTGTGGACAACTGGGCCTATCTCTGAGCCCCAGGACCAACACGGCATTTTTCAGGGCAAGTGAGCAGATCTCTGACCCACAGGCCCCTGGGGAGCTGAGAGGCAGCTGGCAAGGGGCCTGGTTTGCAGATTGCATTTCTCCCCACCCTGCGTCTCTGCAGCCTCCCAGAGCACGTGCAGAGCTGGGACCGAGCTCCCCACCCAGGCTCCTAAGCCTGCCCCTGTCCCTGCCCCTGAGCAGGGGTGAGCTCAGGAGCCAAGGCAACCAGCACCCGCAGAGAGGAGCAGCTGCAGACCCCGGAAGAACACGCGCCCTGCCAACACACGAGCACACAGTTGGATAGGGGTCCCGCAATGGGTCCTTTATTGCTGAGCTCTGAGCTGCATGGATAAGGTCACTTGGGTCACAGGCACTCGGTGGAGAAAGAGGAAGGGCAGTGGCAGGGGGAGGAGGAGGAAGCGGGGAGGGCCCCTCGCCGTGGGGCTGCCCTCATGGAGAGGAAAACCGGCCGCAGAACAAGATAGAGTTGGTCTTGCTGTGCAAGATGAAGAAGAGGAAGGGGTGGTCAGCCATGAAGGTGGGCGTGAAGCGCATGCACCGCATCATCATGATGGCGGCGGTGGCAGCCGCAGCCTCCGTGCCCTCCTCGTTGACCTCCACGAAGGACTTGTGCACGACCTTGGACAGAGACAGGTCTCTCTTGGAGGACATTCCAGAAAAGTTTGCCCTGGCCGCATCAAAGGCGTCGGTCATGCCCAGACGGCAGAAGATGTCCTTCATGTCGTAGTTCTCCTCCAGTTTAAACCGAGGGAGGTAAACCTCCACCTCTTCTTCGTCCATCTTGTCTGGCCTCGTCCACTCTACGAATTTCTCGTATGTAATTTCCTTTTCCACCTAGGGGAGGAGAGGTGAAGGCTTACAATCAGGTCCGTGGTGTTGCACAAGGCCCTGTGTGGTGACAGGGACACCCAGGCTGTCCAGGACAGCCTAGCTGTGGGGGAAGCACTGCTGGTGCTAAACAGCAAGCTGGCCAGGCCGGGTGTAGCTCGGGGCTCCGGACTTGTGGGCATGCAAGCATCCACGCGGGCATCCACCCCCAACACCACCAAAACTGGTTTTCGAAAGCGCCCTGGGAACTGGGAAGCCCTCTCCAGCAGAACCCAGATGCCACGACGCCCCTGCGGCTTAGCGTCTGTTACCGTTTTCAAGTCGATGTCCTCATCCGGAAGCATGATGATCATGTTGAGCTCCTTGTTGACATAGGGAAGCACCAGAATCCTGGTGAATATTTCTCCTATATAGGTCATTTGAAAAGTAGACTTCGTATACATCATTTGCACGGGTTTCTGCTCATTCTGCCAAGGAAATGGATAAACATTAAGCTCCAACAAGACCCAGCTGACATGCTGGACAAAGCTGACAGAGGAGCCCACCTCAGTCTCTAGGGCCGGTTATTTCAGAGGTTTTCTGGACACCAAATGGTCCCTCTTCAACCCCGGCTGTAGAGTACATTCCACTGCTCAGACACCGCCTTGGCGGGACGAGGTACTGGATGGCTCCCTTCCCAGTGCGCGTGTGTCTCTGTAGCTCTGACAACCACCTAGTGACTCCTGTTTGCCCATCTAGGGTTACTATCTGCCCCAGGGAAATAAGGGTCACTGACTAGGGCACTGCTTGGCGGCACACGCGCCCTCAGTCAACTTCGCTGAATAGATGAGGCAGACACGCCGTGTTTAACCACCTGCCTGCTTACACTTAGACCAGAGTGTGCTCGGACTTTCTACCTGGCCTTTTTCTCTTCTTCTTCCTTTTTTTTTTGCATAGTTTTGTATGTCTCATTAATAGAGCCTCAATGTCTTTTTATCTGTTTGATTTTACTACAGTACCCCTTGTTTATAAACTACTATACTTTTTGCTGATTGTACTATACAGCACTTTGGTTTTATGTTCTGTTACCCATTGTGGATCGCATGTAACAGCTATGCCAATAATAGCAAAGTCATCAAGTAGCAGTTTCCTGTGACCTGTTTTCTGTCCTGAATGTTTCGGTGTACACGCTGGTACAAGTTTTCATTTGGGACCAATTCATTGAATGATAGTTGCAGGGACTTAATGTGGTCCTCAAACAACAAATGTCTGCACACACACGAGTGAGCAGTAACACTGAAGGACCGGGCGGAATCAGCAGGTCTTAGCAGAAAGAAGTGCATTTGTGCTCAGTGTATTCCAGCAGCCGGTGGGGAAGACCAGGGGACGCTGACCACGTCCCGTCCACCAGTCCTCCTCAGTTCCTGGCCATTTCAGCTACTGGGAAGTCACTGCATCACGGGATACGCAGAGACCAAGTGCTTTGCAGTCCCCAGGTCCCTGGTGTGATGCATCACTGTGTCATGCAGAAACAGAGACGCGGCAGTGACTTGCAATAAAACTTTACCAAAAACATAAAGCCTCCATGGCTGGTGTTGTCCCACCTACCACAGGGCACTAACCCTGTCTTCGGCACTGTCTCCCATGCTCCTCAGTCCCCCACCCACTTTCTCTATTTCGGACACAGGGAAGCAGGGCAGACCCCCACCAGCGGCCCCTGGCGGAAAGCACACGACCTAGGTGTGGCCAAGCAGTACCCAGCCAGGGCTCCCCTGTCCAACAGCAGATCCTCCAGAGGAGGGGTACGCTCACAGTCAGTCCCTTCCCTCTCGCCCGGGTGCAGAGGCAGCATCTGAGCCACTGCTGAGAACAGCAGAGCAGGAGGGGACAGTTACATCCTGGGGAACCGCCCAGTGCCACATCAGCACTGGGCCCTGCTCATCCCCAGAGCCTCCAGCATGCGGGCTGAGCTTCTGTGAGCTGAGAGGCTGCATCCAGGCGCTCTGTTGCCTGCAGCTGCATGAAGCCCTAACCCACATCTCGTCAAAGCTGAGTTTCAAGGAGGTAAGTGTCATTGCAGAATAAAGCTCAAAATAAAACGCATTTCTTGAGAAAAGGAAGGTCCAGGTTCAAGCAGGCCTAAGAGATCTAAGTTATGGGCAGTGATCAGGAATGCACTGCCATGGATTAAACGTGCAAAGCACTCTGCAGTGAAAAGATTTGTGTTTTTCAAAACCAGAAAAGTAAACCAGATTCAGCCCCTTTGCTGGCTTTCTGGTCTGCGTTTGTATCACTTCTACTGTCCACACAAGGAAGACCGAAGCTCATCATTTCCGTGCTTGCTGAGCTACACGCCTGGCCTTGTGAGTCAGCCATCTGCCCTTTGCATGGCTTCTCAGGAGGGTGGAAGAAACATCCTGCCACTGTTCCAATATCATGAGAGACAGCAGGGACATGGGGGCCCCTTGGAGGTGGGGGTGGAAACCAGGGGCCCCCCAAGGGCTCAGAACTGGAAAGAAAGAGGTATGGCAAGAAGTGGGGGCAATGCGTAGGATCCAGGTCCACAAAACCCCCACATGCCGCGCTGGAGTTTGAACTTTCCCCAAAGTTCTGAGAAGCCAAGGAAAGACCCAAAGTAAGCTTGAGACCTATGCCGCTGTCCTTGGTCTGTGGACAGACATGCTGGAGACAGCATGGCAGGACAGTAGGGTGACCCCAACCTTAGTGGAAGGTCCAGTCAGCAGGCTGCCCAGGGCCACAGAGCACAGCTACCCCAGCTGGCAAACATGGGACCCTCTCCGGGAGTCCCCCTCACTGCCACACAGTATCACCTTGCTGACTTTAAACGGCATCTTGCGGGTTCCTTCTTTGTCAAACTGTCTGTCCCAGTTTCCTTTGAAGTAGATGGCGTTCACGAGGACCATACTTGTGGTTGAATTCAACACACCTGAAGACAGAATCTCCGTAATCTTATCTGAAAGGTAGAATTTAAGAACCAGTCAGCCTAGGCTGACACACACAGCAGGATGACAGGCAGAGAAGCGACCTCCCTGTGTGACCTAAGATTTCACTGACCTCCCTGCAAACATAAATGTCTGACTTCATCATCCCCATCATCCACAGAAACAAAACAAATTTTTAAAAAAGGCTTTAAAAGTTCTATGAAAAGAAATACCACTGTTGGAACACAACACATAAAATGAATGATATGTTCAAATGTAAGCATAAATTCGAACACAGAGACAGAAAATGCTCATAGCCTAAAGAACTTAGAAGACTGTAAAAAGGACAAAACCACTCCGGGAAGCTGAGGCAGGAGGACCACAAGACTGAGTCCAGCCTGTGCAACTCAGAGACTTAGCAAGGTCTTGTCTCAAAATTAGAAAGTTTAAAATACGGCTCTGGATGAAGCTCAGTGCAAAGGCCATGGGCTGAATTCCCCAGTGCCACAAAGAAAAGAGCGAGTGGTTACAAGTATAAGCCAAAGGGAGTTTCAGGAAACCGACGTGCTTACCCCACTTTATGTATCACACAGGGACACATATACCAGAGCATCACACGGCACACCACTCACATGGGCAGTTTTTGTGACTTTATGGTTCAGTTTAAACAACAGCAAAGTATGGTGTGCATTGCTGTAACCCCACCACTGTGGAAGGCTGAGGCCGGATGACAGCCTGGGCCACTCAGCAAGATTCTATCTCAAAGAAAGTGAAAAAGGGACAGGGCAGGGATGTGGCTCAGTGTAAACACCCTGCGTGCAATCTCCAGTACTGAAAACAATCTAAAAACTTTTAAGTTACTGGTTACAAAATGCTCTCTGCAAGTGTAAAAGCACAGAACCAGAGATGGTTGAAGACTTGGCCAACCACCCTGTAAGTGCATGAAACTGAGACTGACAGGCAGGGGACACAGCAGACACGGAGGCACCCTGAGACCTGCACTGGAAATTTCTTCCCATTGTTTGTGAAGGGAAAGTGTAACAAAAAGAAAAGGGCAGCACCAATTGTTCTGGAAGAAATGTAACAAACAGATACACTGAGCAGGGGCGGCAGAGAGGCCAGAACTTGATGATGTTTCTGAAGTGGATTTTTTTTTTTTTTTTTTTTTTTTTTTTTTTTTTTTTTTGTCTTTTTGAGGCAGGGTCTCTCTATGCAGTTCAGGATGGCCTTAAGCTCACTTTATAGCCCAGGCTGATCTCCAACTCGCAAAGATTCTCCTGCCTCAGCCTCTAAAGTGCTAGGATTACAGGCGCCACCACGCCTGGCTTCCGAAGTGGATCTTAAAAGTTTGCAACTATTTACAGAACTTTAAAAGGTCACTCTGGTTTACATCAGATGCTCTTATGAAGGAAATGACAAGACGCCTGATTAAAATACAACTGAGAGGTTTCTTTCCCTTTCACTCTCCTGAGAGTGAAACTACTCAAAAGGAAAGAACAATTGGGATGGGAAAGGAGAAAAGGAGAAGGGGAAAGATGACTGTACACATACACAGACACACACACGGTGTCTGCAGCCCCACTGACCGTTAGCTCATCAGAAAGAGCACTCTGTGCTTTCACTGCTCAACTGTTTATTTTTTCATGCCCATGTCTTGTAATCTGAGCAACTACTTTGAAGATAACAATATGCAATATATTAATCAGTGTTAATCTCCTATTATTTTGTTTTGAAATTCTGCAGCATCATTTGTATCCTTTTTTGTTTTTAAAACTAAAAAAAAAATTTAAATGAATAAAATAAACTCCTTCTAAAAAGAGAACACCGAGCCAGGGCTGTGACTCAGAGCAGAGCCCAGGCTCGGATGCCCAAGGCCCTAGGGCTCATCCTCAGCACTGAAAACAAAAAGCAAACAGAAAAGCTGTTTTCACCTTCTGTCTTCTTGGCCACCCAGGAGTTTATGTGTTTCCTGGATTCCTCCGTAGCATGGATAAAGTCGAGCTCTTCCATCTCCGCTTTATAGAATTTACCGCAGGAATCTTTAAAAGACTGGGAGAGAGACAGCAAGGTAACTGCACAGCTACGCAAACAACGAACGCCCACAGCTACCGCCAACAGCTACCTTCCTTTTTGCACCAGAGCCAAAACTCACAAGGTTTGTGATTTACACGTGCTACTGATGAGTAATTACGAAGGATGCGGAGTTGCTGGGCGTGTTTCACCTTCCCCTGGAAGTGGAGCTGGGCGGTGGTGGGAGGGGCAGGTGCAACTTCACAAGCTGCTGCATCCTTGTGGGCAACAGTGAAGTGGAGCGGAAGCTGGGGTGCAGGACGATGGAAAGCGTCACCTCGACAGCCCCCCTCACTGCAGGACAACTGACAGCAGACAGATGGACACCCAGAAGGGGGGAAATGGGCCACTGCGCCAGTCCTGACCGTTAGCTTCCTGCGCTGGTGACGTGATAAACCAGCACTGTCCAAACTGGTGCCACACGTGGCCACGGCGCACCAGCCAGTGCAGCTGGAGAATCAAATACTTCTTCTTAGTTCACTGGAATTTAAGTAGCTGCACGTGTCCCATGGTTACCAACGCTGGATGGCTCTGTTTTGAGCAGTGAGAGACTCAAAATGAGCTCAGGGCTGGGGAGCAGCTCAGCAGGAGCGTTTGCCTAGCGCGAGGCGTGTCCGGGTCTGACCCCAGCACAGCAAACAGCGAAAAGCAATCTTGACAACACAGTCTGTGAACTGACAGGTGACACTGACGGACACCTATACTCTGGCATATTCAGGCAGAAAACTGGAGCTGAAATGATCAATTTGACGAGTTACTGCTTTTAAGTATCATAGCTGCCTCCATATCCTGAATCAACTCAAAATGTTTACCTTTTGGGGTCATTATGAATTTAGGGAGGAGCCAGAAGACACACTGTGCCAGATCTGGCAAATAAAGGGGAGAGGGTGCACTGCAAGGGTTTCACGGCTCCGCTTTCCCACGGGATGGGGGAGGGCGCCTGGCAGCAGCACTGGCCCTGGGCCACAGTCACACCTTGCAAAGACACCCAGGAAACAGGACTTCCAGAACTGCTCAGAAGGTGCCAAGACGGACAGAGCGAGTGTGTTCACAGAGGGGAAAGATTCTGATGGAGGCCCGAGGCAATGTGCCTTTACTGGAATAATTTATTGCAAATATTCCCCAGATATTGGGACCACACCAGATCACAACTTTTCATCTGAAAAGTCCCAAAGCAAAATTTCTGCATGTGCAGGAAAATGCATGTCAGGTCTGTCACACCCCCTGTCCCCGGAAGGGTGTGGGGCGGGGAAGAGGGCGATGAGGGCGCTTGCTTTGCTGGCCTTATTTGCTTTCTACTCACATTTGAGGAGTAATTTTCTGATTTCTTTTTAATGAAAAAAAGCACAAAACACATAAACAAACACAAGGAATGCACAGTGAAGACGCCTCGTAAGTGTGCAACCAGGCATCTCTGCCACCTCCTGCCATGTCACATAACCCCCCTCCACACCGCCTTGTTTGTGCAAAACTCCCAGCATGACTTACTGAGAGGAATTCGTAAGACTTCTCCCCAAAGAGCCTGTTGGCCGTTCTCAGCAAGTAGTCAGTGCCTGTCTTGTTGATTTCATCGAGAAGCAACTGGAAGCCCTGATGGACATCGTGTCCATCGCCACCACACTTATTTAAAGAGAGCGCCTGTAATTAGAGCCAGTAGAGACACAGTGTGAGCAGGACTGACCACAGGAAATGGGTGTGCACCACAGGCAGATCCCCCCTGCTTGTGATGGTTGGATCCAAAATGCCCCCCCCCAAAGTATCGTGCGTACAGCAGAGTGAATCGTGAGGCGACACACTCATCACTGACTGGATGAAGGCATGTATGGGGTCAGCAGCTGAATGTGCCACTAGGAGATGGTCCCTGGGGTGTAACCTGGAAGGGTCCATTCTGGTCCCCATCTCCCTCCTTCTCTCCTGCTTTCTGGCTTCCAGTGTTGGGTAATTTTTCCTGTACCATGCGTCTTTTCCCCACCATGTCCCAGCAATGAGTAGGCGACCAAGACACTGCTGTACACTTCAAAGAACCATCCGAAAACCACCCAGTTAAAACAGAAGGTGCCCCTCCCTCCAGCCCTCCACACCTGGGCTCTTCACGCTCACCACCTGCAGTCTGGCTGCAAATGTGGCTGCCAACCAGACCCCTGGCTCTCAAACAGGAGAAGACACAAACCCTGGCTGCCCTCAGGTTGGAGCTGGCTGTCACAGAATTCACCCAAAGTGTCACTGTCGGGGCCTGTGTCATAGGAGGTCTGGCAATAACCACATTCACTGTCTGTCCTGGCCGCCATGATGGAAGGAAGGCCTACTAACACTGCTGGAAGTCACACAGTAAGCCCAGGATGAAGACGTGCCACTGCATAGGGAGAGGGGTTGGAAGGACCCAAGGCCCCACGCACTGCCATCACCAAGGCTCCAGATTGGGGACAGGCTACCTTAGACCTTCCAGCCCTCTGAAACAGCTGCATGGATGACCCCAGCTGGCACCATGTGAGGAGGGGGTAGAAGTGTCTATCAGGCCATAGCACCTGGGAAACTTTCCATCATTGTTTCTAGCCATCAAGTTTTGGGGTGGGTTTCTGCAGCAAGAGGTGACACATGCAGTGACACAGAATAAGAAAAATCTAAACCAGGAGCCAGGCATGGTGATGCTGGCCTGTAATCCCAACCCTGGGAGGCTGAGGCAGGAGGTCAAATGTTGGAGCCTACACTTCTTAGAGGTTTAGGGAGACTCTGTCTCAAAATAAAATATTAAAAAGGGCTGGGGTTGTAGGTCAATGCAAAGGCCCTGGTTTCCATACCCCAATACCACCAAAAAAAATTTTTTAGTGTAAACATGGATTTCCAGGAAGCTGGCCAAAAAGGGAGAGAGCAAAAATGACTCAGTGGGGCTGGAGATAGGGCCTGTGGTATGGTCTGTCCTGGCAGAAGTGACAACAGTCATCTGCGGTGACAGGAAAGACAGGACACTTCCCCATCAACTAGAAAGTGGCTGCTTCTAGCTGCCCAGAATAGAGTACAGAAGACAGAAACAAGCCAAAGGAGAAATGGTTCCCCTGTGAAGCATGGTTTAAGCCACTGTTCCCACTCAGGTCCTGCTCGGCAGAAAACAAGTATTTCTTTATATCCAGCCTCTTCAGCTGGCGAATGATTACAGAAGAAGGAATGGCTTTGAACTAAGGTCAAGTCTTTGACCTCAGAAAGTCAAGGTCCCTTAGGAAGATAGGGGTAGAACCTCCCTCTCGATGAAGGGCTCCTAAGCATCTTAGGGATGCTGCCCAGTACCCTAACTTCCAACCCAGAAGACACCTCCATGGCCAACAAGCCTGTGCACATGGCTTTGCCCAGAGTGGCAGGCTGTCAGGTGATTTATAGAAAGCTCACAGTGGCTTTAAAGGGACTATGAGGTAAAAGGCAGAGACACTTCAAAGTTGGGGAGGCCCCTGGCCCCCACTCTGCCAGGGCAGGAGACAGGAAGAAAGAGCAACAAACAAACACGGTCACTTCTTACAGAACAGAGTTGCTGAGAACACGGGGCAGAGCTACAGCCCAAGGGGTGGTGGATAGGAAAGACCCGGGAAATGCATGCAGAAGTCAATAAAGGAACACCCCTGTTCTCAGAGCACAGGACAGGAACACAGGCACCTGGCTGAGTTTTGGAATTGCTACAGTTCAGTGACTGCAATGTGCCTCCCTAGCTGTGTTCCCTTAAAATCCCTGTGTTGGGGTCCTCAGAATAGGACCATGGTTAGGGATAAAGCCTTTGAAGGGATGATTAAGTTAACACAAAGGCACTGGGGTGGACACTAATTCAATCTGACTGGTGTTTTCAATAAGAGATTAGGACACAGTCAAACACAAATGGAAGACCATGTGAGGACACAAGGGAAAGATGTCACCCATAGGAGAGAGGCCTCAGGAAAACTGGCTCTGCCCACACTTGCCTCTTGGACTTCTAGCCTCTAGACCTGTGAGAAATACTGCTCAGTCTAGCCAGTGGGTGACTTGTTACACAGCTCTTGAAGACTAATACATCTCTCCCTCGCCATTGTTAAAGGGAGTGTCCACAATCACCCCTTCTGTTTCACCGTTGTGCCGGGGCAGATGAGTCTCTGCAGTTCACAGATCTCCGCACATTAAGAACTGTGTTAGGAGAACCACCTACGGTGCATCAGATGGCTGCATCGGAGAACTCCCAGGGACCTCAGCATGGGCTAAGACTCAATGGCCTTGGGAGGGGAGTGGCTCCTCAGTGCACTTTCCCTGTGGGAGCCATTATGTTTGGGGCTGTGAGGGCCAGAGGCGGCCTTCATGAGCCAAGTTTTGGTGTTCATGTCCCAAAGCAGTTAGCAAAACTCAAATAACAGCCTACAATCAACCTGAAAAATCACTTTTCATCAGGAATAAGCAGAGCTGTGTATTGATGAAATCCTCACTCCTCTGAACCAGACACCCACTCATCAGAACAGCTGCTCAAATCTCTATGAAGCCCATGCAGCTGGCATCCCAAGGAATCCCTGAGATTTGGGACATAGGGGACCAGCTTGGCAGGTGGTTGCCGCCACTCAGAGGGTGCACCTGGTACCTGAGCCATCTGTTCTGCGGTGGTTGCCTTTGCTCCCAAAAAGACCATGGCCATGGCAGAGGAGATGCTTAAAGGTGAAAAAAACACATTTTTCGAGCTCTCTTCACCCAGAACTTTCAAAAGGCTCATGGCAAAGATGCCGTTTGCTTCCAGCAGACAATCCATGACGGCAAGTCTAGAACAAAGAATTGAAAAATCAGGATTATGTAAGTTCAGCCTCACGCACCTGCATTTCCCCTTCTTTATACTTACCACAGATGCTTCATGTCAGTGAGCAGGCAGAAACACACACAAAACTCGCTGTTTCTTTCCGGCCCCCCAAATTACTTTGTTTCAGTGTGAAAAGCACCTCGGAACCATACTTGACAGTACTTGATAAAGAATGGGGTTGTTCCACCAACATCTTTTGAAAAATACCAAGTATAATTATTATCTCATATCGAAGGATTTTACCAAAAAAGAAGGGTTGGTTAATTATATAGTCTCTTATTTTCTCCTTTTTTTTTTTTTTTTTTTTGGTGCCGGGGATCAAATGCATGACCTCTTGCTTGATAGGCAGGTGCCTATGCCGCTGAGCTAAATCCCCGGCCCTTTTCTTTTTAAAAAGGTCAGCATCCGAAAAGCGCTGACCTTTCCTGTGACAGTGGCAGTTAGTAGAACACCCAGCAAAGAACACGTAGATTTTTTTTTTAAATTATAGATGACTGCCCTTGTAGGGAAAGGTGCCTTTACGCCTGGATGAAGACACAAACCCATCCCGCTTCCCGAGCCCCGTGATGGCAGCACTTCCGGCAAGCAGGCAACACTTCCGGTGAGAGCGCCTCGTGCGTCACTTCCGGAGCGAGGAACCTCTCGATTCTTTGGTTGCATTGCAATGGCTTATTGTGCAGTTTAGTTATTTGAAAACCACTCAAAATAATAAGTTCACCTACAAAGTTACACAAGGCAGCTGGTGGTTTTATAGTGGAGAGAAATCTGCTTTGTCGGGAAACTGGAAGTCTCAAAAGATCAACAGGCAAACTCTTAAAAAGCACGGGGTGACTCTTGATTCTCTTGGAAGCCACTGCATGTTGAAGAAGCCCAAACCTAAGGCCACGCTTCATCTCAATGGCCACCTTGCTTCCTTTGTTCTGTGCTGCAAGGGCGTTTGGCCACCTGCTCTGAACACAGCCACGTTCAGAGCCAGCATCAGCTCTTGGTCTGTGCAGCCCATCAGCATAGCACCTGGCTGTGCCCTGCTGGCCTGGTGGGATTGGGGGTAGGAACACAGGTGATGGCGGGGGAGGTAGAGTAGGGGTGGCAGTATCTTCAGGCCAGCTGGAACCTCAGAATCACACAACATCACAGGGAGACAAAGGGCCCGATGGACACCCATCAGCAGCTCCCTGAGAGAAGTTCACAGAAGTGACAGAGCCAAGCTGGGAGAAGTGGGATCAATTCAGGGCGGAACCCTGATTTTGAAACACTGTTGGGGAAGCTGTTAACTTCCAGAAGAGCCTGAAGGTACCACCTGGGAGGACAAGACACAGGTGAGGGCCTGATCAGCCAGGAAATCTACATGAACCAAGTGACCAGGGGAGCAGACCAGTCCACTCGGTGACTGTTTACAAATACAGACTTCCTGTGGCCGCAAATGTGAGCACTCTGAGGGACCTCCAGGGATGCTCAAGCCATAGGTGGAAACCCACAAAAGGAGGAAAGAGAACACAAGCATGGACCCCCTCACAGCACCAGGCAAGGGAGGGGACACCAAAGGGCTTGGGGAAGAGAATGACAAGTTACCCTTTTCTTCCTGAAGCATGCCTGGACATTTGTAGCTATAGCCAGCTGAGATCCAGGTCCTAATCCCTGCAACCCGGGGAAGTTCCCTCAAGTAGCATAAGAGACTCTGCAGGTGTGATTAAGGATCTGGAGGCAGGAAGACCATGCTGGATTAGTCAAGGAGCCCCTACATGCAATCATATGTAGCCTTATAAGAGGAGGTGTCAAACTAAATAAAAAGAGAAAAGAAACGGGAAGGGGAATGGAGTCGGGAAGGGGATAGGGAAGCAACTCAGAGAGATAGGATCTCTAGAAGAAAATTGGTTAGCCTGAAAGCAAAATGATGCAACCCAGGCTGTGCACACTACAGTAAACAAAGACATGGAGAGAAGGGGACCAAAAGGGAACTTCTAAAGACAGAGATGCAGATCCGTAAAATTCCTATGCAAATTTCACTTTATGACCCTGCTTCCTTTAATGGTTTCTGAAAGAATCTGAGTGTCACTGTCCTGGTCAGAGATCCCTCCTCACTGCCCCTCCTGACCTGGGGCTTAGGCACCCTCAGCCCTGCTGTGGGCAGGAACAGCTGCTCCCTGTGCATCCTCAAGCCTTGCTTTTGGTGGGGAGCCACAGACCCTCTCACTGAAGGCCCTCCCTGTGAGCCCACCACAGAGCCCTCGGCCTGCACTTGGGCAGCTGGTCCGGACTCAGTGCCAGCACAGTCCCTCTGCAACAAAACTGTCTTCTCAAGCTTGGACCTCTGCTGCTTCTTTTTCTTTTCCCTAACAGCTTCCTGGAGTTGAGTTCCTAATAAGTGACCATCCCCTCCCTGCCAAATCAAGGAAGCAGGGCTGCCAGGGTCTTGGTCTCACTGCTGTATGTTGGGGCAGACTGTCTCCGTAGTTCATAGATCTCTGCTCTAGGAACTCACTGGTGAGCTGCCTCTGAAGAGCATCCATGGGTCCATCCCAGCCCAGCCTCTGCACTGCATGGCTCTCTTTTGTAGCTAATCAAACACAGGATGGGAACTTTGGGCTTCAACCTCACCCTCCCTCCAACAGGTATCAAGTTTCAATTTCCTATAGCCTGGTGTCTTTCTTAAAATAAAGTATTATTTGGGTTTTCTTCTGTCTGAGCCACAAAACCCAGAGTTCTACCACACTAGCTCGGAGCCTTTCAGTTTCACATTTTGGGGCTCTCAGCTGCTCTTGCAGAACAGTTGTGCTTGTTCCCTGAGAAACAACCGAAATTTACCCAGAGCCTCGGTGGAATGCAAACCACACTGAATTCTTTTGTGCCTTTTTGAAGTTTGTTTTGCCTGAGCTTAGTAGTGGACTCGGGGCTTGTAATAAACAATGTAGTTTCAGGAACTGATGTTTGCTTTTTCTCGGTGCTCTTCTTGTCCTAAAATGGTCATCTTCAAAATTGGTTGCTTTATCCTGAGCTGTTGGTCTCAGAGACCATCACTGCACAGCAGTGACAGGGCCCTCCCTGCAGGTGATCCCTTAGAGCCTCTCCCCCAGCTGTCCTCTGTCTTACTGTGCTTCCCTTCATTACACCTGTGTCAGGAACCAGCCAGTGTTTGCGGGCCGTCTTAGTGATGCTACTCAAATTCGGACCCATCGCTCTTCAGAGCACTGCCCAGCATTTCAGTGATGGTACTTTGACAGTAACGTCCTTTTTTGGTCCTCAGTGCCTTCCTCCTCCTTGGCTCGCTCCCTTCTGGTGGAACAAAAGGTCCACAAGCTTTCTAAGGTGCCCTGAGATGCCTTTATCCAAGCACCCATGTCTTTGAGCTCCTGGCAGGGTCCATACCAGGCTGCACCTGATTTTACCTCCAAAGTTTTCAGCCATGGGTTCATTTCTAGCTTCACTGTTGAGAAGTCTGTTGATATTCTGCCCTCTGTTCCATGTTTTCCCCCATCTCAAATCTTTAGATTATGGAATTGCATCCTCTTCCCTGATGTTGGTAATGTCCAGTGACCTGGTCTTCTGGGGGCCTGGTCATTCATTTTTCTGAGTGTCTGGAAGGCCCCTGCAATTTACTAATTCAAGAACATTTTATGCTGGGTGTGGTGGTGCACATCATCTGTAATCCTAGATCTCAGAAGGCTGGGGCAGAAGGATCACCATGAGTTCAAGACCAGCCTAAGCTACTGAGTGAGTTCAAGGCCAGCCTGAACTACATAGCAAGACCCTGTCTCAAAAAAAAAAAAAAAAAAAATTTCCTTTCCACTTTGCAAAAAAATTTAAGACACTTGCTCATTTCTTGTAGATCCTCTCTTTTTAGGGCACTAATAATTCTTGGACTAAGCTCATCCTGGACTTCCCCAGGCATCACCACGGACAGGCAGAATGACATTATGTGCAGGTGCTTGGGGCAGGGCTACCCACTGAGAGATCCAGCCACCAAGTGTCCCCCGATTCTCTCAGGCAGAAGGACCCATCACTGACCCCACCTTAGCGCCAGCACATAAGTCAAAAAGCTCTGCTCACACCGGCTGCCCACTCTTGTACTGCCCATGACAACCACGGTTTGGCCCATTCTCTGAAAGATATTCATGACTCTATCTTCCAAGCCTGCTGTTAATTTCTCATTAATTTCAGCTGTTACATCTGTTGACTTGCCAGGTTTCTTGCTTATTCTCTGACGTTCGTTTCAGTGTTTGGTTCTAGTTCCTCACAGAACATCCGTTCTGACTGACTGTGTTCTCTTCTGTGCCCTGCACTGCCTGTCTTTGGGGCCCTTCTGTTTTGCGGGTGCTGCTGGCTTTACTCTGTGTAGTCTTCTCTCACACCTAGGCTGTCAACCTACGATGTCCCTACTTAAGAGGAAAACCAAATATGCTAAAATTCTGTTCACATGGCTGAAATGAGTGAGCAGGAGACTTCTCTGAAAACCAGTTATCACAAGACAGGCTAAAAGTCCTGCCTGTTACCTGACTCATCCAGCACATGACTTACAGCTTCTGCATTCTTCGGAGGTAGTCAAGAATTCAAGATCTATAATGAATCTGCTTTTGCTTTCAAGAAAAACAACCCTACCCTTGGGCCATAAAGAGGTTACATGAAGGGACAGAAAACAGAACAAAACTTGACCTTCATTCTGTAAAACTCCTATGTATGGACAGCTCTGTTAGTCATTTATTTACCTGGCCAATCTTACTAGCCTTTAAGATGGAGGACATCAGTTAAGAGATTTGGGGGAACATTCAGGTATGACCTACGGTCACTTTGGGTTCCCGTAGAGCACCCCAGTATTGAAATCAGCTCTCAAGTCATGAGGGTTCTTGTGGAAACTAAATTGCCCTTCAAGTCTCGAGGACTCACCCTGACCCAGAAACCAGAAGGAAGGGAATACCTGATCGGACCAGCCCACTTCGGTCATCCTTAAACCTGGCCTCCTGCCTTCCCGGAGGCCCGTGTGCCCCTCCTCTTCAGAGTACACCCTTTTTGTTCCCCCTGATCACTGGATTCTGCCTGTGGCTTCACATTGCCAACTTACTATAGTTTCCATTGTGGCTGGGGCAGGTCCTGGCTGCAGGGACACCTGCACTGCTCCTCAGGGAAGCCAGCTTTTCTGCTGAGGATCTGACTACTTCCTTTGGTCCAAGTCACTCACCTAGCCTCAGGCCTTCAGCGCGCACATTTACCAACTGATTAATAGTACTGGGGGTTGCACCCATGGTCTTCACTCTGAGCTACACCCCCAGCCCGCTTTTTTCGTTTTGAGACAGGGTCTCACTAAGTTGCTAAATCACCCAGGCCGGACTGGAAGTTGTATCTGCCTCGGCCTCCCAGACTGCTAGGATTACAGGCGTGCACCGTCACACTCAGCTTGCAAATTAGTTCTGTGGAAAGCATTAAACAAGTCTTGAATGCTGAAAAGCCGTATTCCTTCAGCTATTACCCAACCTCTCTTTCAATCATGAAATACCTGCCCAAGTATTGAGTATCAGGTATTCAAACCCTGTGTTTATCCTGAAATGTGAATTTGCACATAACCTGCCATTGTGACCAATCCTAAAAGAATGTTCAGGTTCACTTTGCAATGATCTTTAAATCCTTACCAACTAAGTAGAAAAAGACCCAATCCTAAAGAGAGAAAAATCCAAACTTAAAGTTTGCCAGTGACTGAGATATTCTCAATACCAAAGAAAATTATAAACAATCTAGTGAGATTTTTAAGTCAAGGCCTTTTTCTGATCCATACAGTGGATGGGCCTGTAACAAGGATATATATTTCCAGCTCATATTACAAAACCATTGCCTAGCAGGGCTTTCCAAGTGCCTAGTTCTTTAGTTGCAATAGATAAAGATGAGAAGGCTACCCTATACACACACACACACATTCATTATAGGTCTGAAAGTTACTGCTCTGAAAATATTTCTTTAATAAAAATGATTTGTAATCATGAATCTAAACACTGGACATTAAGGTCTTATTAATGAGTAATACTACAGTTTTTTAAAACAAGTCTAGCAAATCTATGCTAGGATCACTTCCCTATAGCATCACCAGTAACCTTCAGCAGGGAATGGTCATAGCTGATTTCACCGAACTGATCGACTCCCAGTAATTTTCTTTCCATTTCCTTGTACAGTACATGCACGTGTGTGTGTGTGTGTGTGTGTGTGTGTGTGTATCTGTGTGTGTGTGTGTGTGTGTGTATAGGGCAGACTTCTCTGAGCAGCAGCTGTCTACTGTGTAAACAGGTGAGTCACCATGAGTTTCTTCATCTAATGGCTCCTTGGCCTATTCCCAGGCCCAGGAGGCTTAGAAATGTAAGGGCTGGGAGTTCCCCGCATCCCGAAGCATTTCCCTGGGAGCGCTTACTCTCAGACATAGGGGAAAATGCTGACTGCTCTCATTTCCCTTTACCGTTCACCGAAATCCAATGAAACTCCCTGAATTAGAACTGGCCTTATGTAATTTTAAATGCAGTCATTTCGTGGCACTTGAAGTTCCAGGACTACCAAAGATTACAAAACCCCAGCTGCTCAATTCTCTTCTATAAAATCATGAAGAATTGCATATAACTTTCGGAACCCTCCTAGACCACTTACAACACCTAATGCAATGCAAATGTTATAGAAAGCAGTTGCTAGGCGATTTAGCCATTAAAGACCAGAAAGTCTGCATCCGCCCAGAACACAACAGAGGCAGGCGATTTTCCCCAATTTTTTGATTCCACTGTTGGTTGAATCTCCGGATAAACTTCAGAATAACATGTACTTGGACTCAAGTACGCCCCAAACTGCACCTTTTTGGAAGAAAGGTGATTCAGGTTAGGGTTCGGGTAGCCAAGAGATAAAACTGACACACCCCTTAGTCACTGCACTCACCCCAGCTGCTCACACAGCACATTCCTACACCCGGCCACGGGGCAGTAACCCAAAGGTTAGGACAATCGCGGGTCTGTCACATCCCAGGGCTGCACGATCGCTCCCATCCTAGCAAGGGCGTCCCGACTCCGCCCCGCGGGCCCCTGCCTCTGAGCGCTCCCCGCACCCTGCGAACCTTCACCTTCCTGCTTTCCCTTTGCTGAGACCGAGCTTTAGAGGAAGCAGGCCAGGAGAAAGTCGCCGCACGCCAATTTCATCGGCACACAAACCCCAGACCAGTAAACAGGCCGCGGGCCCCGAGCACGCCGGACCTGGTGACACTCCGCCCGCAGGCGTTTAAAACGCCCGAGCGGTGACCAGACCCCGAGCGGTCCCCGAGGTCCTCGGCGCGGGCCCAGGACCCGCTGCGCACCGCGACTGCGCGGAGCGCCCCAGGGGCGTTCCGGGGAGGCCGGGGGACCCGGCCCGCCCCGGCTTGGACCCTCGGCCTCGCCGTACCTCGCCCCGCGGGGTCCCCAACGCTCGGCGCCCGTGCAGGCCGGGAGGCGTGGCCACCGCAGGGCGCGAGCCGGGCCAGCCGGGGTCCCCCGCGGCCGGGCGGGCAGGGTCAGCGGTCACCTGTGGCCCGGGGTCCCGCCGCGGGAGCCCAGTCGGCTCCCCGCCGTCCCCATGGCGCGCCGCCCGCCTCCACCGTGGGCGCGGGGCCTGCGAGGTCCGGGACCGCGCGTCCCCGGGCAGCGCCACCGTGGGGCCCCGCCGCGCTGCGCTGCGCACCTCCCAACCGCCGCGCGCCGGGCTCGGCCAGGCCGTACTGACCTCGGTCTCGGGGCTCGGGTTTCGGATCTCGGGTCTCGGATCGCGGCCGCAGCGAGCTGGCAGGGCTGACTGCGCCACGGCCGCTCCGGGCCTCAAATACGCGCGCGGGGCGGAGGCCGGGCGGGCTCCAGGTCGGAACAGGGAGGGGCGGGCCGGGCAGGGCCGGGCGGGGCGGGGGTGGCCGCGCCCTGGTCCCGCTCGGGTGTGGGGAACCCGGAGGAGGCACAGCGGGCTCCCAGCCAGGCTGGCGCTCCAGGGGCTTTCCTTCTGGGAGCGGTAAGGCGCGGCTGTTTCTTGGGAAAGAGCGATTTCCCAAGCCCAAAACCCTCGACCAAGGCCCCGGGCCCAGAAGCGAGCTTTACTCTTGGTGGACACAACTGAGCCACTGCAGAACAGAAATTGAAAATATGATTCAAATGAGAACCACTGGTTCTGTGGGCATAGCTCAGTGGTAAAGTGCTTGCCTGGCATGCAAGAGGCCCTGTATTTGTGCCTAACACTTGCCTCCGAATAATAATGATAATTTTCAAAAGCAGAGCGGGGTGATCATTTCCTGTATCCAAAGACACCAGTACCCCTCACCTGGAACAATGACACCCCAAGGCACCGGACCAATTACACAAAGAATGAAAACCCTGTTTACTGTGGCGCAGCAGCCTTAAAGAATCTTAGCCAGGCTGAAATGAGAATTGTTTTTGGGAACCTCAGCACCTACTCTTCTTTCCACATCGGGGTTTCCACGGTGCTGAAGTTGACTCCTGATGGTGGGAAGCCGATCTGGTGCCACACAAAGCCCACAGCACCGGCGGCTGTGGCCCAGTAGGTGTCCGTGGCAAACAGCACACCCCCCCCCCCCCCCGCCACCTTGGTTGTGACTTTGTTTTGGGGGTAGTGAAACAAAGCAGAGCTCAGTGATAGCTCACTTCTGCTTATCCCCCTCGAGGCTTTTCAGCCCAACTTTAAGAGCTCGGGCTTATCCTTCCACTTTTGCAAAAAAAAAAAAAAAAAAAAAAAAAAATGTGCCTATGTAGTGTGGTTATATATATATTCTAATTCTAATTCCATCTTGCTTACCAAAGTGTAGCAGCCTGTAACTGACTGACAACCCTGCAACTTGCTTTTTTCACTTCAAATGTTTTGGAAATCTAATTAATACATACAGTTCCATCTTCTTTTTCCCTGGCTGCACAGGTTCCTTCTGTAGTCAGCCTTGTATCCTTACAAATAATGCTGCCGGAAGTAACTTGGTGCGGTATTGAACGAACAAAGGAATCATCTGGAAGGGTTGTTAGAATGCAGATTCCAATTCTGCAGCAATACCCGATCCTGGACATCCCTAACAGGCTCCCCATGATCGAATCCCCACGCTTTGAACAGGAGCACTTCACGTGAATTGTTTTGTGTCAATGGAGAAGTAGTTGCTAATTCAGGTTCCTAAATTCCTAAAAAAAGAAACTGCCAGGACAGAATACACATACAGTTTTGTGAGTTGTTATCAAGTTACTGTCCATAAAAAGCCTGTCATTTTGTCCTTGACAAAGATTCTGTCTTTGACAGAACTTCAGTTGAATCCCTAAGTCTTCTTCTAAGGTTGTCCTTGGACATCCTGGTAAAATCTATTTTAAACAAGTTGGACTCCTGCTGATCAGATATCCCCATCTTTGATATCTGATCAGTTTTGCTCTATGATCATGGATTCGTCATGGCGCACCTTTCCCCCAGGAGACTTGAGTTCTGCCAAGACAGTCTTCAACAAGAATCACGGAGCCCTCATCTCTCTTATCACTGACATTTCCTGTTAGTAATTTTCCACATCAACTTCCCCTAGTCCTTAGCTATGAATTCCCACTTGCATATGCAGAATTCAGAACTGAACCCAATCTCTCCACCCCTCTTCCATTTGGTCCCTAATACCAGTCACAGTGGGGCCTAAGAAAGATTTCCCTTACTGTGATTTAACAAATATCGTTGAATATACTTGTCTTTAATATCACCAACAATATCTCCAGTCTTACACCAGAATTGTCAATGTGACTATCAAACTTCTGAATTTTTATCAATCTGGGAGGGGAGAAATGTTATCTTGGTGTCGTTCTTTAACCTTTTTAATATTGTAGAGCTTAGTTTGATTTTTAGGTTTTTTTTTTTAATTGAATGCTGGGGCTCAAACCCAGGGCATCACACTCACTACACAGTTGCCCTTCCACCAAGCTACACCCCCAGCCCTAACACGCTTTAAATTAGGAGGTTAAAGATCTTTTTTGGTTTAAAAGACATCACTTTTTTTGGTGAACTGTGAACTGTTCTCGACTTTTACTCAAAATGGAAAATAGAACCAAACCAAAAATAAGCAAGGTTTAAATAATAAATGATAGGATTACACAGTTGGTGGATAATGCCAATGTGTTAGTGAATGGAAAATTAAAATTTTAAATAAAACCAGCCAAGGATGCCCGCCAAGACTAGGTAGATATGTCTGTGTCCTGACAAGCCTGGTAACAGAGCATTCCTGTCCTTGTGTAAGCGTGTCTAACAGCCTTTAAATATAACTTCAAATGTTCTTCCGTGTAACCCACCCAGTCTCTCAGAATCAGTGAGTGAGAACAAGGCCTGATTGGGCAGTGAAGGAAGGTTTATTCTTAGCCAAAGAATAATTCAGGTAGAGAGGCCTACAAGACAGCCCACAGAGGAGTCCCAGGTACAGGATACATGATGGTGAGTTTTGTCAGCTAGATGGGGTTTACAAATGCTTCAGAAATCAGTAAAGGACTCTTCTGGTGCAGCTATGAGGGTGTTTGCCGAGGTGACTGGCATGTGGCACTTCGTGTTGCAGTCAGGGATTGCAAGGAAAACAATTTGATACAAGACATAATTTATGCAATTATTTTATAATGGTCACCCAAAGAGTCAAACACAGAAAGTGCAGGAAATCTGTCCTCACACTAAGACCCAAGGAATCCAGCTGATGGCCTGGATCTCATGGCAATGTCCTGCATGAATCCAGCTGAAGACTTGGAACCCGTGGCAATCTCTCATGCAAATTTGTATCATGGATCTGCACCAGGAAGGCCAAAGGTCAGCAGTAGAAGCCAGAAAGTCTGTGCTGGCAGGGTGCAGGATCTGTGATAGCAGGCTGAGGGATCTACACTGGAGCCAGAAAGTGATGCTCAAAGGACCAGGGCTCCCCCAAAGTGAACCATAGCCATTCTCAGTGACAAGGCCCAAGCTCCTCTGACCATGGCAACAGTCGAGTTCGTATGAGGAAAGAAGCACAAGAAACTCCAGGACAACCCACAACACCCAGAAGAACCACCACCACTATCTCTTCCTCTCCAGTTCTCTTTATATTGGCAACAATCCCCAGGTGGGCCCTCCAAGCTCAGCACCACACTGATTCAGTTTAGCTGATGTCACAAGTTGACCACCAGTTATCAATCCACCACAACATGAAAGGTAATCAGGAGGCCAGTTTAAAATAAGGCCCCGCCCAGAACAGGGCAGTGGGTAAATGAAGGATGCATACTCTGTCCTTCCTTTGAGAGGTCATCGCCCTCTTTCCCAGAAGAGTGTTTGGAAGATGGAGGTTTCAACATTCCTGCCACAGAAAGCTTCCAGAGCATCAAAGGGGCTGCTGATAGCTGCTGTTTGCTTCTCACAGTCCTGCCCAGCCAGGCACCAAGGGGACCCCAACTTCTTTGTATTTCTTCCTTAAGAGCAGTATGGGAGGGTGCTAGGCCCCCAACCCTGCCCCACTCTGTTTGTGTCCCTGGATTTGCTGCAGAAAACTCGGGGGTCTTCCTGCTTCCTTTGAAAGCCAGAGCAGTGAAGCGTGCATATTCCTCTAGTACCTCAGTGCAGAGCAGGAGTACCAGGCCAAGTCCAGGGCTGACGAACATGCCCCCTTCTCTGCCATCACAGTGGGTGATCTGTCCCTTACCAGCTCTTCTCGAAAGGCTTCAGGGCCAGACAGTTCCTGGACAAGAAACAAAAGCAGAATCATCACATTACCTCCAGGGGATTCAGATGAAAACTAGAGATAAAATCAGGTGTAACTCCAAGATCGGACACTGGAGACACCCAGCTGGGCCCACGAGGAATTGGGCCTGAGGTGCCGCATACACCTGTGCTCTGTCTCTCTCGTTTTACTCAGTCAAGCTGGAAACCTCACCACTGTCTGAGCCTGGACATGTTTTACTGGGGATCAGATTTTTGCTTTTATTTTCTGTGCTCTACACCAGTAGGGGGGGGCTAGTAATATGTAAAACCTTTTCATTAGAAAATAACTGGTTTGCCTCAAAAGGTCTTAGAGTCTGGTGAAACATTTAAAGCTAGAGCACAGTGAATGGAGCCAGGGGACAGAGCAAAATAAAATAAAGACATAAGTTCCGGGATGTAGGTGCTAAATGAAACCAAGGACAGGACGCATTCAACCAGCAAAGCTGACAGGTCAAGGTGATGCATTGGTGGTGCCAACCAGCATTTCACAGGACAGCACGAAAGACAGGGCGCGACAAGGAGGACAGAGGAGGAGGAAACAGAAGAAAGCACAGCAGAGCCCTGGTCAGCAGTGCCTGCAGCTGGCGCAGAGAGGGCAGAGTGTCCTGAGCCACACGTCCGTCTTTTTCCAATGCTTTTTCTGTGCTTCCTGCATCTGAAGTCATGGCTGAGCTGAAGCTCACAGTGGGGGCCTCTGCCCTGCCATGTGCCTCGCTTCCCTCTGGATCTGTATTAGTTGAGCGGCTGCACTTGTAACCCAGAGGCCGATGGCAGTTTCACCCATACCTGTATAAAATATCCCCTACCAAAGACCTCAGCCGCTACCGCCCAGACCCCTCCTAAATTCTTCCTAATTCCAGTAAAACTCTCCTAACTGCCTGTGAGTCACAACTTCATCCCCCATCACAAGACCAGGAACCCAAGACTCGAGCTAATGATGAGAATGGCACCTCCCAGGCCAATGCGGTCACCCGGCCCCTAAGGGCCGGACACCAGGGCCAGAGGTGCAGTGGCATCTCCGGAGGCTCTTCGACCTGAACAGCTGTGGTTTTCGTGGCTAGAGATTCAAGTACTTCTTTTCTTTAGAAACTATACTCTCATAATTACAATGGAACATAAATTGAGAGAGTTTTATTGCTTTGCAGATGCTGGTGCACCCCTATAGCATCAGCACCCTAGGAGGCTGAGATAGGGTTCCAGCCCTGTCCCTTGAGCAACATAGCAAGACCCTGTCTCAAGAAACCAATGCAGGACAGGAGCTGAGTATGTAACCCAAGGCCCCCAGTTCAGTCCCTCACACACACACACACACACACACACACATACACACACACACACACACACACACACACACACACATACCCTGTTGGTTTAAGAAATATTTAAATAGAATAAAGGAATAGAGGTTCTCTCTGCATCATATGAACCCTCTGGCCTCACTCACTTTTAGTTACTAGCATTTAGCTTACTCTAGGAGGCACTAACTTTGGAGGTCACAGAGCTGAGTGTGATTTGTCCTCCGCCAGCTTTGCCACAGGTGACACCTATAACGTGTGGATCATGACACCAGTGGCACAAATGGCTTTTCAGGGACTGAAACCACTGACCCTTCCATGTGCCAGGTACAAGATGGGCGACCTCTTTGATGCCAGGAGGCAGAATAGTCTGCCCTCAGGTGACGCTGGGGCATTCATTTCTGAGCATGAATTCCTGAAGACTGACCACAGGTGCGCAGACCACTGGTCAGTCCGCCTCCAGACCCCTCCCGGGCCTTCATCGCCTGCTTGTTTGCCCATAAACACCCCTTCCCATCCTCCAGAAGGTGAGTTCAGGACCTGGGTGTCCCTGTCCACATGCAGATGCTTTGGGGACAAAATCTCTTTTGCAGAATGTGTTGTCTCCAAGGCCTGCCCACAAAGCATCCCCAGTTCAGCAGCCTGCGTTGCGGTCTGCTGCAACGCAGCAGAGAAGCTTATCAGCTTATCTGCTCCAGCATCTCTGTGTGATCCATTTCAAAATGCAAATGAAGAGGTGGGCAAGTAGGCGCTGCCCGAGGTGTGAGCAGAGCAGGGCTGACCATGGACAGCCTGGTCCTGAGGTCCCTGGTCACTGCGGAGAGGAGGGGACAGGGTGCGGGAGGAGCTCAGGGAAACTTCTCCCTCAAGGGCCGTGCTGGACAGACCTGCAGGGTTTGACCACAGCAGTCCGGATGAGAATATGGTGACAATGAAGCTCTTAAACCAACAACAACCAAACCACAGCAAGGAAACAAAAACTACTGAGAACAGCGCTCAAGGATCACGCGGCTAACCTGAGCCACCTGCAGCTGGTGCCACGGGGCACCCAGCCTTCCAGACCCCGCTGCCCTAAACGGGGCTCCTTGGGAAACGGATGAAGCTGGTACCTGCACCCCAGTGAGGCAGCCTTGGTGGAAGACCCGGGAGGGTGCTGCCCTCATCACACTGAATGCTTCCCTTGCAGGGTCCCCTCGAAGTCCCATTTGGATTTCATGCACAGGACAAGATTTTCAACTCCAAAATGCAGGTGTGGGTATTGCAGGAGGGGAGGGGTAGGGGACCCCAGATTTCACGTTCATTACTCCTCATTGGTAAGGGGGTCAGAGCACTTTTCTCTTTAAACAGAGGTGGGCGATTCACTTCTTGGTGCCTATGTATCTTAGTCTGTTTTCTCTTGCCATAACTGAATCCCCGAGACTGGGTATTTTATAAGGAATGGAGGTTAATTTAGCTAACGGCTCTGGAAGCTGAGGGTCTCCATCTGATGAAGTTTTCTCACAGGTGGGTGCGCTGCAGGTCCCAATAAGGTGCAAGGTGTCACATAGTGAGAGGGGCTCGTACAAGAGACAGAAGGTGCTTGTCTAAGAACCCAGCTATTGTAATAGACCCATTGACTCATTAGCCCATTAATGGATTCATTCATTTATAGCCCAGCTCTCATAACCGAATAACCTAGAAAGTTCTGCTTCTCAGTTCCTCATTTGTGGTGAGTTTTGGTCTCCGCATTCAACGTACAGTAACAGCCCACCTGAAGCAGACAACCCCAACTTCATGGTCCCTGGGGCAAAGCAGCCAGGGTGAATGAGGCCTCTGTTGTCTGCCCACCACCGTGGCTGTCCTCTTTCCCCCACTCCAGAAATCCCCTCAGTGCACACTGTGCCTTCTGAGTCTCAGGGCTGTCACCACTTCCAGAGGCAGTGAGCGACCTTGGGAAGGACAGGGCTGGGTCCTTATCTTGTGAGCTGCCTCACAGTAAGCTGATGGGCAAAGTCCCTTAGCTCACTGGCACTGTTGTTCCTTGGATAACTGGTATTTGCCCACCGGCCTGGTAACTCCCCTGTCTAAACTCCCTGTCAATGGGGAAGTGACCCTAGTGACTCACTGAGTGCTGTGTGTCCCTGCGTCACTCACCCCACGGGCTTTTACTGAGTGCTTGTACTACTGTTCAGATGCTACGCTGAGGGCTTTCAATAAGAAGGGAAGACACAGGAGGCAGACAGATGTGTGAATGTAAGGTGGGACCCGCCCTTCCGGTGCTGAGGATGGGGTGGCAAACAGAAGTAGCAACTGTCAGTCCTCATCAGGAAATGTATCCCAGAGTCCCTAACACAGGAGCTGAGCTGAGCTGAGCTGAGCTGAGCAGAGCTGACCAAGTGACTCAGGAGAGAAGCATTCCACCCAGGAGGCTGGGAAACACACCACACGGGTCGAGGGAAGAAACCGCCTGCTGTCGGCTGTAAGTAGAGTGTAGGCTGCAAGCCCAGAAAGCACTCTGCACGCATCGATTAGCACCAGCAGCTTTTTCCTGCTTTGCATTACAGGTGGAGCTGGGTCTCTGCAGACTCGGGAGCTGAATGACCACATCCTCAGTCCAGTGTCAGTCGACAGCTCTGTAGCAATGTGGACAAGGGCAGGAGGGGACAAAAGGCCAGAAGGCCACTGCTACGATCCTTCCTGTGAAAGACACTGAGCGTGGGCCAGGGCAGCTGCAGCTGCATGGAGGGGAAGGCACAGGGATGAGAAAGCCTTTAGAAAGGAGGAGACACAGGGCCGGGGCTGTGGGGTAGCGGGTGTGCAATCGGGAAGCTAACATGACTCATTACCGACCTGAGCCAGCAAGCAAACGGCCGTGATAAGGAACAAGGTGTGGAGCGGAAAAGAGGGAGAGGATGGAACTGGGAAGGGAAAGGACTTCCACTTGGACAAGACAAGGGTGCAGGTCCTCGGAAGGCGCAGGAGGGAGGTCTGAGTAACACAGGCCCCTTGAAGGTCTCGGGCACTGTAAGGTTTTCCGGCAAGAGCAGGGAACCCCAGGAACGCCAGCCGTAAGGTGAACCAGGGGCCTGCCAGACAGCAGGAGAGGCCGGGAAGGGACCCAGAGGAGCGGGATTAACAGTGAACAATGGCAGGGAGGGGGGTGCGCTTGAAAGAAGGAGCTGGGAAGTCTGGGGCCATGGCAGGTCCTTGAGGGGCCGGAGAGGGTGGCCGTGACGTCTGGCAGGGCCAGAGATGAGTGAAGGTTGCAGAGGTAAGAACGGATGTTACTGGGGCAACGAAGGGAAACTGAGGCAGGCAGTAAACTCCTCCAGGCCTGGGCCTGAACCAACCCAGCTTGGGAAATGAGGGCTGGAAGGTGGGGATGGCTCTGCTCGCCAGTGGCCTGCAAGGGACCAAAGAGCTAGAGAGCAGAGAACAGAGAGGACTCTGGGCCTCTTTCGCCACCCCGAGCTGTAGCGATCAGAGGGGACACCACTGGGGACGCCAGAGGGTGAGACCAGGTGGGTGAGCCAAGGGCATAGTGCGGTGAGTCACCCAGTGACAAACACCTGGGCTCAGAGAGGAGGGAGGAGGCTGCTGGGACAGAAGCTAAGAGGCCCAGGGGGTGAGCTGGGGACCAGAGGCTTCTTCCCGAGGGTTGGGGCTCCAGTGACGAGGTTGGGGCTATGACCCAAGGGGCTGGCCCAGGGCCTTGTTGCCTTGGAGGGCTCAGGATGGCTCGCCTGTGCCGGGCAGAGGCTCGAGGTCAGGTGGCACAGAGCACAGCCTAAGGCAGCCAAGCTGGCAGCCAGGAAAGCCAAGTCCTCGTTTCCCTGTCAGATGTTCACTTCCCTGTTCGCTCAGGCTTCCACTGGAAGATGATTTCCAGGAGGGGCCCAAGGTGCCTGGTGTCCTTGGGTACTGGAGCAAGGCCAGAGCTTGGGCATCTGTGAGGGCATGGGGGGAAGGTTGGGTCCCCAAGGCTGGAAACCCCAGAAAGAGCTGGGAATCAAACTTCTGTGTGGGGTTCTGCCACTGACTGTGTCCAGGGTCCCTTGGGAAGGGGAGCTTGGCCACCCCAGCCTAACCTGGGGCCACTCAGGCCATGCCCTGGCTTTGCTAAGGCAGCACCTGGAGACCGGTGTATCCACACCCAGTCACCCCGAGACCAGGAAGTGCGTGTAGTTCTAAACCCCTGCTTTTTGTTGCCACCGCACTTTTTAACCAGTTATTTGAGATCTTTGCCCCACCAGAGCACTTTTCAAAATAAATGCAAAATAAAAATAAGCTCACTTCAGTGGAAACACCATTTTCACTGTCCTATGCAGGTCCTTGTAATGTGAGGTGCATCTTGTGTTTGGATACTCTGTGACTTTAATACAGTATTCTTGAGGAGGCCAGATATATATATATATATATATATGCAAGATTTTGCTGCTCAAGTTGGGGGGAATTTCAGAGCAGATCCCCCTTCCCAAACAGATCTTCTGGTCTCTGGCTGCAGAGGACTCTAACTAATCTACAGGGACCCCAGGAACCTGCAGTCTGCAGCATGGGGTGGGCAGAGGCTCCCCTGGAGTGGACCCCATCTCCTCTTGTACATGGTTGGATCAGCTGTGCCCTTCTCTGAGTTAATCCCAGCTTTCTATCAAATAACAATAATGGTCATGACTATTGTTTAGAGCAGTTTTGAGACAGGAGATTAGGGCACAACAAGGGATAACAAACCTGGCTAGGGAAGGAGGCTCAGCCTGCTAATTACAAAATCCCAGGACACACGTGGGTCAGAGCCCCGAACCTGAACTTTTCTGAAGAACCTGAGCAAGCTTTCAGTGGGACGGCCTGGATCTGATGTCAGCATGAGGAGTGTGTGATGCAAACAGAATCGAGCTTTTGCACTGTGTTCCCACTTGCATGGTGGCCGCCCTCACCCTGTACGGTATATTTTTTTCCTACTTTTACTTGGCCCAAATTTACTCTGAGAGTCTATTTCTTTTCCTACCATTAATAAAACTTTGCTATCATTTGTGCTCATCTTGATCAATTCTTTGCTTAGGACAGAAAGAGCCTAGAAAACACCTCCAGAAGGAGACCCCAGCGCTCTAAAACCTGGTAACAGTCTACTACTCCAGCTTCTGACTACAGTGTATTTAGCCGGTATGCAAATCTATTCTCCCTGCCACCACGAGTGTAAACCCATGATTTCAGGAGACTGGAGGACCTGAACATTGCTGCGCAGTGAGCCCTCTCTGCCCCTACAGTGACTGACACAGCTCAATAAGCATTTTCTAAACAAACAACGACCAGAATGAATCTTCGTGACCCGAAGCTTCGAGGGTCATCCTGTTCCCTCCAAATGTATTATGCCTAAGATTTTTCTAATTGTTGGCCTCTGACATCATTGTCACCATTGGGCTGGCAGATTCTCTCTCAACACAGAAAGAATCACAAGGCTGAGCTGAAAGAGGACAGCACACTAGTATTTATTGTAGAGCGAAAATAGAAAGCAGAAAACTCTCAGGTCATTGAGCCAGGGAGGGGACCTGAGGGCCACCACAGGAACTGTCAGTCTAGGGGTTTTTATACACAGGATTGACCACACCTCAGCCAAACTGAGGTCGACCTATGGGGTCACCATCAGGAAAGTCTGACTTAGAATGGGGCCTTGGGACCTCGGGGCAGGCAGAGAACTTCGCAAGCACCATTTCATGGTAACTTTTCTAACATTAGCAGAACAAACAGAACACGGCCTTATTTAGTGGCATCAGTAGCTTGCTAGACTCCCTCTTTGGCTTGGCCCTTTCGCTGGCTGCCTGTCCCCTGGGTGGCACTTGATCACGGGTCAGTGTCCTCTGAGAAGTCCTCCCCCCCCCCCCACAGCTCCTGCTCTTCCTCAGCATCATATTTTACAGGAACTCATCACTTAGGTCACTGCTGGATGCCTCTCGAGGGTCACCCAAATGTAGGGAGTGGCTGAAGCTACAAACTGATCACTCTTGTGGGGGTGAGGCCAGCCCCTTCCCAGAACAAGCCAAGGGAACAAACCAGCCCCCCTCCCAACTCCAAGCCCCAAGGCAACCCAAACAATGGTTGCTAGGCAAAGGGGTGTCACATGACACCAACCTGCCAAATGTATAAAGCACAGTGGGGGCTTCTTCCCGTCCCACCTGACCCCAGCTTTCCGTGTCCTCTCTCACTTCTTTGCCTTCCTCCTGCCCTGCATGGTCATCACCCCAGGAAGCTTGACAGCAGAGCTGCACACAGCACCCAAACCTTCAACCAGGACCCTACGCCTAGCCAGGCCTGCAGGGGGCTTGGGGTTCCTTGGGTTTGTTCTTCTTGTCCCTCGTTATCTCCCTGGCCCCGAGGTGCTCTTCCGGTCTTCCTTTACTCTGACTTGGTTCTCATGGTCCAGTTCCCTCCTTACCTGCTGGCCTCTGGAATTCACACTGACACAGTGGTTAATGTGTTAGTACACAAACACGGGACTTTTCCTGTCCTGCTTTATGTAATATGTAACAATAAAGGCAAGTGCTTCTTAAATATATGGAAAATGGCATTCAGGCATAGAACCTTTCTTTAACCCTTCAGTTCAAGGCAAGACAATTTAGAAAAGAGACTTTCTTGTACTAATCTATGCATTCTTTATGTCAGAGCCAACTTTCATTTTACAGAGTGAATTTTTTTTTTTCGGCTTTTTGTTTTGTTTTTGATCTTTTTGAGACAGGGTCTCGCTGTGCAGACCAAGCTGGCCTTAAGCTCACTTTGTAGCCCAGGCTGGTCTCAGACTCGCAATGATCCTCCTGCCTCAGCCTCCCAAGTACTGGGACTACAGGCGTGCGCCACCATGCCTAGTGTACAGGGTGAATACGGAATACCATCAGCCCGAGACTGGAATGACAGCACCCCTGCCGGGCGGAGAGCGCTTTTCCCTGACCTCTTTCCCTCACTCCCGTGATTCCTTTGGAGTAAATCTTGCTCTCACGACGAGGAGTGTCTTGCTGGGTTCTTTGCTTGGAACCCGAGAACCTGGACATGGCTCCCCCGAGGCCCCCACCCATCCCAGTGCCCCTGGCTTCTCTGCCTCCCCGCCTGGATTACCTGACTCTACTCCTGCAGCTCTTTAAGGCTGAAAACGAGATGGACGTGGCCGCATCGCGCGTGCGATCATCGCAACAGCACTGGAGTCGTAGCAAGTTCCATTGTTTTTCTTTAGGGCATGGTCCCCCACTGAGCGGTCCTGGGGCAGCTCGCCCTTGGCCCGTCTGTGACGCCTCTCGCTGCCACCAGGTGGCGAAGCTGTAGCAGGTCACGCAGGACCCGGGAGCGGTGGGTCCAAGGGCACAGACCCCAAAGGCCAGGCAAGGGCCGAGGTCCATCCGCGCCCCGCGCTGCATCTCCAGTACCGCAGGCTCCCGCTCCGGGGTCCTCGCCAGCCAAGGGAGCCCGAGCCTCTCGGTTTCAATGGACCGGTTCCCACATACCCGATGGACGCCTGGCAAACTGGAGGGGACGGTCCACTCCCTGCACCCAAGAGCCCGCACCGCCCGAACCGGCCAGCGCAAGGTTGCTCTCCCTTTCAGAACCCATCCTCTCCAGAAACAGATCGTACCGAACCTAAGCCTTTGGGTCGCAGTTCCGACTCAGCGGATGCCCTGGACATTAGAGCGAGTAATGAATGCACGATGGATTCACCCCCCCACACACGGTGGGGATTGAACCCAGGGCCTTTGCACTGAGCTATTTTTTCCGCCCTTTTTTATTTGGTTTTGAGAGACAGGATCTCGCTAAACTGCTAAACTGCCCCCCTGGGTTAGAACTAGTGATCCACTTGCCTCGGTCTCCCAGCGTACCTAAATTATAGGTATGCGTCACCACGCGCGCCTTGGAGTCTCACTTTTAACCTAGGTATGTGGCACGATGTGAGAGAAGGCACGAGATCAGACCTGCGTGGGGCCAACCCGCGTCCACCAAGGTACCAGAAATAGACTCGGCACCGGCAGCTGCTCGGCTTGGAGGGCTGAGGGAGCTACGGAAGAGGCGGGCCTAAGGGCGCGGGGGCGTGGCCTAGGCCAGCATGTGGGCGTGGGTATGGGCGGAGGCGGGGTCTGGAGGCGCTCGTTGCCCTGGAGTGGCTCAAGGACCAGGCGTGGGCGGGCTGCACGCCTGGAGGCGGGCCTGAGGGCTTGGCAAGGGCGTGGTCAAGCGTGGCGGGGAAGGGAACAAGCCCCCCAAGGTCCCCAGAGCGCAGCTGCGGTGCCCTGGCGCTGCACCCCGGAGCTCGGCTCAGAGGCCCTCGGTAGGCGCCGGTGCCAGCTGAGGTTGAGTGCTCGCGCTTGCGCCGGAAGGTGAGTGCCCGTGGGACCGAAGTCTCCTCTGGTTGTAACTTGGCGGACGGTCGTGGATCCTAGCGCTCGGGCCTGGCGCGAAATGCCGCGTTCCTCCTGGTGCGGTACTTGCTGGGTGCGCGTGGGGTGAGGTAGCGGGGAGCCCCCCGCGTCGGGTACAGTCGTGTGACCACCCCAGCACCCCCGTCTAAGGGCGTGGCTAAGATCCCAGAGGAAATCCGCTTTTTAAACCAATCATCTCTTCGAAATCGCAGCTTCTGTGACTTTTGATATCATCCTCCTCACTGGTACTCCACATCTAACTGGAAGTCTGTGATTCCCTTGCCTGCTTTTTCTTTTTTCTGTTTCCCTAAAAGAGTCTTCAAGTTCTGTCCTTATTAATTTTGTGCATCTCTGGAACCTCAGCGCTGGGGCAGTCCCCACGCAGCGGAGGGCGGCTTTCACCTCTTGGCCTTTGAAGAATGCCGCTGTGGATGAGTACTTCAAGCCCCTGCTCATTCGCTTCAGTTTATGCGCAGATGTGGAATTGCTGGATCATGTGGTGGTTTCATGTTTTTAATTTTTTGATGAGCCTCTACTATTTCCCAGAGCTGAACTGTTACCTCACCATCAGCGGAGCACAAAGGTTCCAATCTCCCACTTCCCATCAACAATTATTTCCTGGGTTTGTTGATACCAGCCAGTCTGATGCATGACAAGAGGTGTGTTAGGCCTAGTTTTGATTTGCATTTCCCTAATGACTGGGGGTACTAAGCAGCTTTTCACAGCTTATTGGCCATTTGTGGGGTGTTTTTTGGTTTTTGTTTTGTTTTGTTTTGGGTTTTTTTTTTTTTGTCTTTTTCCTTTTTATCGGTACCGGGGATTGAACCCACGACTGCCTGCTTGCAAGGTAGGCGCTTATGCTGCTGAGCTAAATCACCAGCACCTTGTGTATCTTTTTTGGAGAAAGCTCCGATCCAGTCGTTTGCCCTTTTTGTTTGTTTGTGTGTCAGTGCCCATGCTAACCCTGAGCTCCATCACTAGTCCCCACTCCCTGCATCTTGGAGGTGAGCTGTCTCTCTGTGATTGAGTTTTGCCTGACTTGCTTTCTCTGAAAGTGCAGGTAAGTTAGTTGGAGGCACCCCCCGAATTATTTTGCAGATGGATGCTCTGGGATGAGGACGCAAGGCTTCCTTTGTGCCTTTGAGCCTTGCTGGAGAGAATTCACATTTTTCCTGAAGGGCTAAGCACATGGAAGTTCCTTCCCCAGTCCCCAGAGTCAGGTCACGCACTAATCAGAGGGTCTGTGGGTTCCCTTTGTCTTACCGTGCCGAGCCCTGCTGTGGCCTTGTGATCCAAGAGGCTGAGACATGAAGCGGCAAAGGGAATACTGCAGGTCTCACCATGACACGCGCCTGAGCTGGGATCCAGCCCAGGTCCCTCTGATGGGAAGTCTCCCCTAGCCTAGGCCACCTCCCCGGAGAAACCTTCAACCTTCGGGGTCGCTGGCCGAAACCAGGTCTAATCCAAGTCCCTTTTGTTGCAAGTGAGTAAATAAGGCCCATCTGGTCCCATCTAGCCCAGTCCTCCACTTCCCAGCGACAGCTGGAACGTCACATGCCCAGCAGATGGTTTGGCTGCCCCACCCTTCATCTCCCCAGGCTCATTTATTAGTTATAAATAATGTCTCTTTTGGAGAGACAGAAAAGCCAAGAAAGCACAGTTACTTTCCACCTGTGGCTCATCTCCTAGGTTCTCCCCTCTGACGCTGCCTTTGCAGGTTTTAAGTCCTCTGAGAAAGAAGTTTGGAAAGTACTGGTTTTGACATCTTGCATCTTTGTCCTCTAAGGCCTTCATCTCCAGGGGACGCCCTGCCTCTTTGGAGAAGCGTTTTTTTTTTCTGGGGTGTTGGGCTTGACCTCCCCTCTGCCTTTCCCCCTCCCCTGAGTTTATTTTCTCTTCCAGGTTGTTGCTGTCACCAGGGAGAACAGCTGCACCTGAACATCAGGCCACCACACCGAATCCGAGAGAGAATCTGTCTTTCTCCACCATGGCAGGTGATAGCTTGTTACGGGGGGGGGAGTGAGACCTCTGTTGGGAAGTGGAATACATCGTTTATTACAAAAGAAAGCCAACCCACTGGGTTTAGGTTGCTGAGCACTATCTGGAATTACCCAGTGTTGTATTTGCTTGTTGTGTTGTCCATTCTACTCCCCCAGAATGGATGTTTCTCTAAAGCGGGGTCCCGCCTACCCTGTCCTCACCCTGCCAGTGCCTGTAATCATCTCTGGGGCAGAGTAGGGCCTTAAAACTTAGTTAATGAGTTATGTCTTTATAATTTTTTCTTTTCCAGTGATAGGGATCAAACCCAGGGCTTCGTGTATGCTTAAACAGGTGCTGTAGCACTGGGTTACACCGCAAGCCCCACCTTTGTGTTTCTATCTCATATGCCCGCATCTTAAACACTCGCATGCACACACACACACACACACACACACACACACACACACTTTTGCCACTTATTTTTTGTTCAGCTTGGAGATCTTTTCATTTTAGAACTTACAGATTCACCTTACATTGTAATAGAGATTTGGATGCTTCTGTTTTGGCACTAACAAAATCGGAGCCAGATAGTCCTTTGAGGGGCTGCCCTGTGTTTATAGGACATTTAGTAGGCTCCTTGGACTCTCCCCACTAAATGCCAGTAGCACCAGTCCACTGACCAGTCGTAACAACCAGAAATACATCCAGAATTAAAAGAAGTGCCCAGTGGGCATCCCTGCCTCAGCTGAGAAACCCTAGTATAGGTATTTTGTTTGTTCCCAGTCTTTGGACAAGCCCCTCAGTACTTTCCTTATAATATGGGAGTTTTAGAATATTTAAAAAATTGATAACAAAGCCAAGTGTGGTGGACCAGGATGGGCTACAAAGTGAGCTCAAGGCCAGCCTGAACTGCAGAGTGAGACTCTGTCTTAAAAAGACCAAAAAAAAAATTGTTAACAAATGTAGCTGATGAAATTCAAGCTTTATATGCAGTCGCAGGCCTCAAAACTGTTTCAAGCTAATGTGTTTTTTCTCCTTAAGAGAATAGAGAAAAACATGTTCAGATATGGAACACATTTGGTCTCATCTGTCTCCCCTTCAAGCTCCCTTACATCTCTCTTCCCCGTGCTCCCTCTTCTTATCATACATAGTGTCCTTTGTATTCTCATGTTGTAGTGTGTTTGTTTTAGATTCAGGAAAAGCATGCTACACTTGTTTTTCTGAGCCTGGCTTGTTTCACTTAACATGATGGTTTCCACTTTCACCCCCTGTCCTGTCCCTGAGGTTAACTCTGTTCTTTTGACTGAATGATACTGCATTGTGTATCTGTACCACATTTTCTTTATCCATCCATTTGTTGAGACACTTAGGCTGGTTCCCTATCTTGACTATTGTGGATTTAGGCTGAAAATTTTATATTAAGAATTTAACATTCTGGTCTTAGATGATCTTCCTGGGTGCAAATCGCCAGGCTTCCTTCCAGAATTCAGTCTAATCCCACAGGCTGCCCTGAAGAAGGAGGCCATGCCTTGAAGGCTGCTGGGGTTTACGAGAGGGCGCATGCCTGTGAGCGGGATCCTCTTGACCCCAGCATCTCCATCAGAAGATGCCCACCCAGAGCCCACCTTCCACAGGGACAAGGGTCTATGCCTCACAGCTTAAGTGCCAAGCTTTCAGGGCCTCAGGGAAGATGGAAGCAGAATGTGCCAGATAAAAGGTGTCATGGCCGGCACCTGCCGATGCCACATTACCACAAAAGCTGAATTGCAGTGGCTTTTGATTTTGATCTTACAGGGAGTGTTTTAGTCACATTACCATCACTGGGACAAAATATCCAGCACCCGCCACGTAAAGGTTTCAGTCCATAGCTGGCTGCTTCAAGGCAGAAGGTGATGGCAGATTGACTTGGCAGAGGAAAAGGTGCCCAACTCCGGCTGCCAGGCAGCAGAGGGAGGAGGAGGAAGAGCCAGGAGGAAGCTGGACCCTTCCAGGCCACGCCCCCAGTGACCCGGCTCCCCTGGCTCATCTGACAGCTCGTTCTCTCTGAATTCAAGTGAACGGATCCACAGCTGAGAGCAGGGTCCTCATGATCCAGGCACCTGCCACACATGACTGTGAGGACACTTTAGATCTAAAGCACAGCACAGAGTAAGACTTAGACGACTCCTGGAAGCTGTCCCAGTGAGGTGAGGCTTCTGAAGGACTTCGCTGGGTGTATTGGGGTTTTTCAGGGATCATGATTTGGCCCCTTGCATTTGCGTGTAGGTTGGTCATCTGAAGCCCAAAGATCCAGAACTCTGAGCTTGCTACCAAAATACTACAGAATCTAAAATTCATTAGCACAAAATTTCAGATTTTAGTGCCTTTCTCATTTCAGGTTCCAGAGTGGGAACCCTGTACTATAAAGTCTGTGGAAGTGTTCCAGAGTCTGAAAAACACTCAGGTCTAAAGCACTGTGGCCCAAGCATTTCAGGGAGGGAGACTCAGCGAGCATTTGTGAATCCAGGTGGTGATGAGCTACGAGCTAGCATAAATGACAAACTATTTGTAAAATAGTATTTTATTTTTAAATTTCCACCCCTTAAAAAGTTACCATTTCTCAGTGTGACCCGAGGTGATCCAGATAAAGACCTAATTCTCATCCTTGCCTTTGCTGGGCTTTGAGCCGGGTTGGCCCTCGCCCAGGAACCCGTTCTCCGCCACCGCAGGTAAGAAGGTGCTCATCGTCTACGCGCACCAAGAGCCCAGGTCTTTCAACGCCACCCTGAAGAATGTGGCCGTGGAGGAGCTGAGCAAGCAGGGCTGCTCCGTCACCGTGTCTGACCTGTACGCCATGGGCTTCGAGCCGAGGGCCACCAGGATCGACATCACCGGTGAGGCACCGTGGCCTGCGTGCTTCCTTGTTAAACTTTCTTCCTCTCATTTTATTGTGTTAAAAATAGCTTTTGAAAAGCATACACGAGTCTTAGGTCAGGAGTCCCCTGTGACGGTCTCTTCCCCCATCCCTGTCCCCCAGCCTCCCAAGGGAGCCCGGGACAGCTCCCTCCGTGTGCTTTCTGAGGTGGTTGGTGCCCAAGCAATAGTCATGTGTGTCACACTCATGGTCGTGTGCATTGTTTTTGTCTCACTACTGTAGAAAGTGTCCCCCTGAGCGGCTCTGTCACAGTCAGGTGGCCCCCAGTGAAGGTCACCCTGAGTCGTCCCTGGTCCTTGGCCAGGAGTAACAGTGCTACAGGGAATGATGACAGTCAGAGAGGTTTGTGCAAGTGAACTGGTTTATCCAGAAGTGGAATTGCTGGGCAGCGGTGATGTGCATTTTTAGTTTTATAGATGATATCAAATTGCTTCCCACAAACGCTGTACAGTTCTCGCTCCCGCCAGCAGTGCTTGCCAAGTCTGATTCCCTGCCAGTCTCTAAACAGTGTTACCAGTGTTTTGAAATTGCTGGTCTGACAGTTGGAAAAATGGTCTCCTGGTATAGTTCTGATTTATCTTTCTCTCACTCTAGATGAGTTTTAGTATCTTAATTTTTATATTCAATTCATTAATATTTAAATAAAATATTAAATATTCTCCACAAATTATTTGTTGATTTTTCTCTTAGGTATTGGTCTTTTTCTTATTGAAGAGCTCTTTATGTCTTAAATTAGTCTGTCGTACAGGACATGAGTTATAAATACTTGTAACCTCATTTTTTTAATTTCAGTTTGACTTTGCTTATGACAGCATTTTGCTGCAGGATTCGATTTAGTTTTTGATCAGTCTTTTTCTTCCAGGACTTCTGAACGTTACGTCATGCTTACATGAGCTCTAAGATTGTAAGAAGTTTTATAATTTCATCTAGCATTTGACAGATTCAACTTTTTGAATTAAAATACTTTGTCCCTTTGAAACTGATTTTTGTGCACAGTGTGAGATCAGGGTTGAGTTTTCCTCCAGTACCTACTGAGACAGCTCGGTTAGTGCAGGATCCAGGATTTAAAATACCACCGTCACACTGATCCAGATTCCCTCCTGCTGATCCAGATTCCCACCTGCTGATCCAGATTGCCTCTTGTTTGATTCTCTTTACGGTTTTTATCGAATTTTTCCATGATTCAGTGCCTCCTGGTTGCAATTATGTTGGCAAATAACATAATTGTCTGGTATCACTGGGTCACTCGTTTCCCGTTTTCTTCTATTTTTTCTAACAGTATCTACATTACTTTCCCATAAACTTCTTTGAATCAGTTTTCCAGACTGGGAAAGAAACTTGACAGTGTCTGCCTTGAGGTTACGTTAAGTTTAAAGATGAACATGGGGGGAATTGACCTGTGGTGCCGATCCCTTCTCTGAGGAGTCCAGCACCCCTAATCCAGTGGGGTGGTGGGATGGCCCGGGGTCTCACTCAGAGTGAGAGCTGCTGCTCCTTCTGCCCCCAGGTTCTCTGTCAAATCCTGAGAGCTTCAATTATGGGGTGGAGACTCACGAAGCCTTCAAGAAGGGGACCCTGAGCAGCGACATTGTTGCAGAACAGAAAAAGGTGCAGGAAGCTGATCTAGTGATATTTCAGGTTGGTTTTTCTCTCCAACTAATATACTGAATCAGGAGTTCAATTCCTAGTACACACACACACACACACACACACACACACACACACACACACACACATTGAATCAGATGCATCCCACGTACAGGCTCCTGCCAAATACCGCATCATGCACTCCTAAGCACGCTGTCAAGTTTTTAGCCAGAGTTCTCTAAGTGGGTGCATAGCAAGGTCACTTACACACGGACGATTGCAGCCTTCAACATCCTGATCGTTAAAAGGAAACTCTTTCATTTCCATCTTCCTGCTGGCTGTGTCGTGCACACACATGTGTGCCCAGCACCTTCTGTGTGTTCATCCCAGCCGCAGGCGTGCTGACCAGCAGCACTCAGCAGACATGCTGCCCTGAGCCTGGCAGGCCAGGGTTACTGGGTTGATAAGAATCCAAAATCTAAGATAAAGATGGGGCGTCTGTCATAGGCCCTGGCCACCTGTGTCTTCTGGGCTTTGGGGATGCGCACTCGTGCCTAGAATACCTCTGGATCCTGGGCTATTGCTGCAACCCAGGGACTGGATGCCCTGGACCCAGAATGTCCAAGCGGGGGGGGGCCTTCTGGATCCTGATCAACTCCCACACACTAACAGCTCAGCCCTGACATGGAAGGGCAGCTCCTTTCCACACTCCCCGGTCTTGTCCCCCACAATGGCTAGGCCAGCACTGGTTTTCACTTTCCCTTCCTGCCCCAAGCCAGCATCAGGGGCTGGCCCTGGGGGACACAGCACCAGTGTAACAGCATCTGGGCACAGTGTCAGCTTGAGCAGGTACACTTGAGGGCTGACTGCACAGGGGCTCCCAGCTCACCTCCCAGAAGGAGGGGACAGTGGGCCTGGTTCCGAATCACCAGTGGCAAGGCAGCCCCGGCACCTGTTTCTCTCCTTGTACCACCGCAGTTCCCGCTCTACTGGTTCAGTGTGCCGGCCATCATGAAGGGCTGGATGGACAGGGTGCTGTGCCAAGGCTTCGCTTTCGACATCCCGGAGTTCTACGACTCCGGGCTCCTCAAGGTGGGTGCTGCACTCACGGACGCTGTCCAGGGCTGGAGTGGGAGGCAGGTGTAGGGTAGCTGCCAGCTTCCTGTTCCAGTTCACTTCCTCTTCTAAAGTGAGTGCTGACTGGGCACCGACTGGGGGTGTTGCTGGGCTGAGCATCGATTCTGAGGTCACGCGTGGTTCTGTCTGTTGAGGGACAGCACACGCATGGCAAAGGAGGTGGGCTGGGGCTGGGGTCAGTCTGGTGCCAGCAGATGGGACATCCACCCTGTTGTACAGCGTCCCTCCCAGGCCGTGCGTGGGTCCACCCTGAGCTTCACACACCTCCACCACAGGGTCAGCTGAGGACCGCATCGGATTCCTAGCCTGCTAGAGGTCTGGGCTCAGGAGCACTTTTCAGTGCACTCACGCATTGCTGGCTGCTCTGTGGCTGTCGCCTGGGGAATGTTAATGCCTGCCCCCGCTGGAGGGACCTGACCTCTGGCTTTCTTCCTCCAGCGGCTGCCCTGACCTGTTTGCTTTCTCTTGTGCAGAAGAAATTAGCCCTCCTTTCCTTAACCACGGGAGGCGTAGCCAGCATGTACACCAAAGCGGGTGCCAACGGGGACTTTCGCTACTTTCTGTGGCCCCTCCAGGTAAGCAGGCGAAAGACTGCTTTGCCTCCCAGGATGGAGGATCTGGTCGCACACGCCATCCTCTCCCATCATTAGGGAATCAGGTTGCTTTTTCCCTTTTTAACTTTCCCCCTGGTGGCACAATACAGCATAACCAGTGGGGAAAACATGCATTACAATTACAGCATTTGCCGTTGTTCGGCCTGAAGCCAGCCAGGCCTGGGTAGGGCGCTGGCTGCTTTGAGAGGCTGGCACAGTACTAAGGTGGTACTCAGTGTGCGTGTGATGAACCCAGGGCATAGGTGTAGAACTGTTCACACAGGCTCATGGTGCTCATGAAGCCAGCACCACCCCAGGCCCTGGTGAGAGGCAGGTGCCCGGGCCCCTCATCCTGCATCCTGGACAGCCTCATGTAGGCCCCTGGAGAGAGTGTGCAGCCCTTCCCCGGACCCCAGACCCGGCCCTTCCTGCCCTGCTACCCCCGCCCTCCCTCACTGCACTCCTAGGCGGACCTAGGCCTGGCCTAGACCTGGCCACCTGCCCCTGAGCGGGTCCCAGAAGGCTGGGAAACCATGTGCAAAGCTGGCGGGGGGGAGAACCTAAGGAGACCCGAACTCTGATGCTAGGTTTGATAGACAAGGATGTCTGTGGAGATCAGAGGAAAGCACCCAGACCTCCACTTCTGAGCTTGCCTTAAACCTTAAATCCCATAGGTACCATGGGAGCTACAGGGTGCTCCAGGCCCTGGAGTCAGCCCCAGCCCTGCAGGCAAATAAGGCCTTGCGCTTCTCCTGTAGCAGTGTTGGTTCACATGCCCTGCCTGCTGCCTGCCTGCCTGCCCGCCCTCTTGCCTGCCCATTGAGTGTGTGTGCCAGTGAGAGAGCATACTGCCCACCTATTGAAATGCTGGGTTTTTCTTAATTGATTTACCAGAGTCATGTATGTTGATGAAATTAATCCTGTTGTTCTTTTCATCACAGTAAGATTTTTCTTCACATACATTGTATACATTTGTTTTCAAGGTCATTCCTTGCCTTTGTTACCATTCTCCTTTTATATTTATGAAGATCATTGATTTTCAAATGTTATTTTTTCACCCAATCCATTTTCTGATTTCCAGTAATGAAATCACATTGTTCCAAGAAAAGCCCCACAGAAGGTGGTGTGCGGGGCTCTCCTGCACCTCCTGCCCAGCATGGGGCACACCTGGGCACAGGTGTGGGTTTTCAGGAGAACACAGGAGAAGATTCGGTAACTGTCAGCCTGTGCGTCACAGCCGCTGGTCTATGGGCTTTTGCTTCCATTCTTGCTTTTTAAAGGTCTTCATTGCTTTTTCAGTTTGCAAAAATATGTACAGTGGTCCCTCGGTTTACGAACTAAATTTGTTCCATGATTCTGGAGAAGACGGCCGTGTTCGTGTCCGGGGCTGTGTTTGTCACCCAATGTAGTTTGCAGACAAAAACAAAATTTTGCCAAACACTTCTGTTTGCAAATCGCTCACACACAGGAACTTTCATGAAGCAAGGTGCCATTGTATTAGGGAAGAGGGCAGCAATATGAAAAATAGGAATAAAAAGTCAGCCCCCTTAATCCACCCACTAGCAATTTAATAATGTAATTTACTTATTTAAAATAATTTGATTATTTTCTAACATCCTGTCTCAGTTACATTTTCATCCCTGGGACACAATAACCAACATCTACAGCTTAAAGGAGGAGAGGTTTATGTTGGTTCTCGGTTTGTAGGCCATTCCAGTTCATAACTGACTGGCTCCCAGGCAGGGCGGCGTGGCAGAGGGGTCTGACAGGGCAAAGACAGCTCATGGCAGGGTGCACAAAGCAGAGAGATCCAGGGAGGAGATAGACCCTTCTGCGCCGATGACCTGCCTCTTCCAACATCCCATTTAGCTGATGAGTAGTATCATGTGCCCAGAGCCCCAGCTATGCACACATGAGGCTTTGGAGGGGCATCCAGGTGTAAACCCTAACCTAACCCACATATGTATATTCCTAGTACATTCTTCCCTATCGGGTTTATTATTATTTTATGTAAGTGGTATACCACACACACTGCTTAAAACTTGTTGTTTCCATTAAGAAATACTTTGGCCTGTAGTATGGATGTGTCAAAATTTACAGTCATTCCAGACTGTATTGTTCAGGGGCAGAATCTGGAGTAACCTCAGTTCGTACATCGCAGCTGCCTGAGTTATTCCCCTCCTTTAGGAAGCCGGACACCCCCAGCTCTAGGGAAGTCTGCTGTTTTCATTGTGACACTGAGGTTGTTTTATGACTTCCTGAAAATCTGCTTCCTACCCTCCCGCGTTAGTCCTTTAATGTAAGGGTGCCTAACCGGCGCAGCTTCTGATCCGGGCTGTCCTTTCTGTGTGACTCTAGCATGGCACGCTGCACTTCTGTGGATTTAAAGTCCTCGCCCCCCAGGTCAGTTTTGCTCCTGAGTATTCGTCGGAAGAGGAAAGAAAAGCAATGGTGGCCTCATGGGCCCAGCGGCTGAAGAGCTTGTGGCAGGAAAAACCCATCCAGTGCTTGCCACCGTGGTACTTCGAGCAGTGACCCCATGCACGAGCGCATTGCTGAGACCCACGCATCGCAGAGCAGGGTTGCTGCAGAGACCCAGAACTACTTCCTGCTGCCCAGGAGTGAGGCCAGCCGGGTCACACTGTCCAGAACAGTGCTCGTGTTCATGGTTTCTACTGACGATCCTTGTTCAGCTGGGTTTCCATCTCTCTAGTGTTTTGTCTAGTATCTGTCTATTTTCAGTCTTCCTGGCAGTTTTAATTTCCAGAGAGTCCTCTGCAAGTGGAGCTAGCTTCATTCTTTGTTTGTTAGATTTTATTTCGTAGCTCAACTTGAGAGTCTGTATTTTTGCTGCAAAGTTTAATCCATTGGAAGCTAATGTTTTAGTTCTGTTGGTACTTGATTTTTATCTTTTTTCTCTTTATGCTTGCGTTATGACTGTGAAGTGTCCATTGGACAGCCAGTTACCATGTGTTTAAGATCATTTGGTACTAGTTACAGTGAACCTTTCAGTGCCTTAGCCTGGTGGCCTCCTGTCACTGTGTGCATGGTCCTGGAACACGACCATCAGTCCCCGGTGGTGTTGGTGTGTGTCGCTGTGGGATTCTCCCTGAGTGCAAGTGTGAGAGATCGGATTCCACCACCACCCGCATCCTCACCTGGCATCCTCAGCGTCCTCCCCCTCACTATCACCACTGCAGAGGACAGAGCTGCCACCAGTGCCCAGGGACCTTCCTTAGCATCCCAGCACCCCCACAGAGCCCCCAGACTCCCCACACAGCTTCCCCACACAGCTTCCCCACACAGCTTCCTGTTGGCATCACCATCTCCACACCCCCTTGCGCCCGCGTCTCCTGCATCTTCCTTTCCCCTGGACCCTCCACTGCTCTTCAGCAGCACCTTCAGCCCTTCTCCAGCTGCATGTCCTTCGTTCACTTTGGAAAGGTTCATTTAGCTCACAGTTTGTGGAGATTTCAGTCCATAATCAGCTGGCTCCAAGGTAGGTGGCGTGGCAGAGGGACAACACTTCAAGGCAGCAGCCAGAGGAAGTAAGGAGAGCACAACCCCCTCCTCCCTTATATCGTACACAGGGCATCCTCTTCCTCCAGGGCAGTGAGCCCTCCTCTTGCACAGGCTGAGGATATTTACAAAGTAAGGATCCTGGCTCCCTGCTGAGTCTCCCAGTTAATAAACTTCTCAAGTTAAGGCAATGTATCAGCCTTAACAGTAATCAAAGCTGTTGCCAGATGCACCTTTTCTTCCGCATCTTCTCTAGCGCTTTCTCAGAGATGTTTTCTTCCCACTCTTGCGCAGGGCTGTTTTTCTGTAATCCTTTTTGGTCCCTTCTTAGGCTCTTCCTGTTATTTGTCCTCAGGTGATCTCTCCAGTACACCTTTTTTTTTTTAAGGCCCTATTATGGCACTGTCTTCTGGAGAACTCTTTTTGCGGTCCACCTTCTTGAGTTTAGTTCAGAAACACTTGTTTCAGAATCCCCTCCCCGCAATTCTTCAAGCATCTTTTTCCAAGTTCTGTAAACACTCAGACCAGGGCTGGGGGATTTAGCTCTGTGGCCTAAGCACCTGCCTCGCAAGCATGAGGTCATGAGTTAGATGCCCAGTACCAAAGATAAAAAAGTAATCACTCAGACTTCCATCCTCGACAGGCAGGACACACAGTAGAAGTGCCTTACTTTAGAAAGCCCTGCCCTGGGGCTGGGGATTTAGCTCAGTGGCATAAGCACCTGCCTTGGAAGCAGGTGGTAGTGAGTTCGATCCCTGGTACCGATAAAAATGAAAAAGAAAGAAAGCCCTGCCCTTCATGAAGCAGAGATGACCTTGGGACATAGCCAGTGCATTCCGGCTCCAGAGTATGAAAGGAGGCTCGCAGCCCCTCCAGCCCTGTCCCCTTTGACCCATCCTGTGCTGGAGGGGTTCCCAGCCTCCAGACCACTTTGCATCAGAGCTTTGAGGTGACCGCTGCCGCCATCCAGGTGTCTTTCAGAGAACGCGCCTCCTTGTTGGCCCAGAGCTCTGGTGCCTGTTCCAGGAGGCGCTGGCACACATCCGTTAGAGGGTGGGCTGCACCCTTGTGCACGCCGCCCACGTCGCAGGCTGCAGAGCACAGCTGCCAGCAGGACTCCCACACTCCCGTGCAGGGACTTATGTGTCTCTAAGCAGCGGGTAGAACAAATGGGCTTCTGCCCAGCTGGACACTTTCAGTGTTTGTTGCTTGTTCTGTAGTTTCTCCCCTGCTCCAGTGCTTCCAGAAACTGGTGCCCACTCTTCACAGGGATCAAAGGCTCAGTGGACGGGTGGGGGAGGAAGTGCCCTGTGGGGGTCTCCCTTCTTTCCACTGGCCCACGAATGCATTGGGCAGCACAGCTTCCCTGCTTGTCCCTTGCTCAGCAGGCTGCAGCCGTGGAAGGTTGGTAGGTGGACAGCAGCACCCCTTTAAGAGGCTTATCCTGGGGTCCTTTGAGTAGGAAGCCCTGTACCCTCCCTCCCCAGCTCCTGAGTGTCAGGGTGAGAAGGAGGACATCTCGCTGCTCTCCCAGCTTTCTGGAGCCCCGTTGCCCTGACATAACATCAGACTTAGCCTCCTGTATGCCAAGGTCAAGTGGGTTGTCTTGCCGGCAAGCAGTTTTAAGAGCTGGGACCTTGACTGGGTCCTATTAGCTCTCTCCACCAATCGTTGGTTTTTAAAATCTCATTGTAGTGAAACAAAAATAAACCCACCATCACCCGGGTAGCAAGAACTACCACTGAGAATAAAGGGAATGACTGCAGCCTGGCCCCATTTCTCTTAGGAGCCCAAGCCCTTGTGATTTTGCAGAAGTGTCTTTGGCTGTGCAGTGAGGTCTTTGAGCCTCTGAGAGGAGTTGTTAACAAAGAGGAAGGACATGTATGTTGCTCAATTTTAGAGTGCGTCAGGAGTTGGGGGAAATTCTGGCAGCTCCAGAGCATCGTCGGTGCCTTGTACCCAGAGAAGATGAGGCAGACATGAATGTCGGGATGGGGGGGAAATGTGTACTGAATCATGTAAGCTTTAGTTATTTTTTCTCATTGCTGAGACAAAATACCCTACAGTCCAGGTAGGAGGAGAGGCTTATTGAGCTCACAGTTTGTGGAGGTTTTTGTCTGTAATCGGCTGGCTGTAAGGCAGCGAGGCAGAGGGGCAAGTGTTCATGGTTGCAGAAGAGAGGATGGAAGAACACACCTCTTTCTGTGCCTTAGATTGTATCCAGTACACTGGGACTAGAGCCATGCCAATCTGATCAGTGACTTGATCCAGCAGTCACCCACCCTTAATCCCAACACCCTTAATCCCAGCATTGAACCATGAATCAATCACAAACTAGATGCAGCCACCTCCCAAAAAGCCCCATCTAAAAGTGCTTGAGGCTTTGAGGGGACTCCAGACACAAACCATAACAATTTACTAACACACAACGCTCCCAGCTGCTTGTTCCATGACAATGTACTGAAAATAAAGTTTATCAGAATCAAGTCATGTATCATTTGAGCTCTTGAATCAGTGGTGGAAACTTTTAACTTTGTATTAGTGCATGCATGCAACACACAGTGATCACATTCCTCCTAGGGACTTGGTGCTGGATATAACCCATCCTAATCCTTGTTTCATCTCCTTCCTCCATCCCCTCTATCTCTTGGTCTTCTTCCATTCTGCAAAAGATCTATTTTCCTGTTTCCTGTTACTTCCAGGGATGGGAGTTTGGTGCTGATTTCTCTCAGCTTAAACTAGCAGTCTCTAAGAGGATTTTTACCATGATTCCCATTTTACAGATGGAGAAACAGAGTCACAGTATTGCAGTAACTTGTCCAGTTCCCCATCACTACAGCTGGGAGAGCCGAGGGCAAACCAGAGCAGCCTTTCCTAGAGCTCGTGCTGTGGACCCCTGGGCTGAGCCACATGGGGTAATGGGAGCAGCAGTGAATGCAGCCGTTTTAGGAAGTAACCATCCAGGACTCTACAGGAGAGTTCATAGGACCATAAAATCTGAGCTGCCCTCTCCGGGCAAGGACCCCATGTTTTCTGGGCCAGAGATTCTTTCGCCAGTAGGTTAAAGTGCTGCTCACACTCTTTTCTTGCTCTGTCGCAGACAAGATATTTTGAAAAGCTTTGCAGCAGCAGAACTTCTCAATGCCAGGTAAATCACAACAAATGTAACTTTTTTTTTTAATCAACAAATGTAACTTTTAAATGCATTACTGAGTTTATAAGAAACGAAGGAAAACATCTGAGCAACTCCTTAAAAGTTCACCACACAACAAGAAGACTGGTTGCCGACAGTGGAGGAGTGAACGAGTGTGGATCTCAGGCTGCCTCCGGAACAGCCTTAGTTACCTCTTCATTGCTTAGACAAAATACCTTATGAAGCCCGCCCCTTTTTCTGGTCTTACCATGTGGTCCAGGAAGTTAGTATTTATAATCTCATGGAAATGCTACTGAAATTTTATCAAGTTAATTTTAATCTGTCATCTCCAATGCAACCCACAGCAAGAATAAAGAGGCTGAGACATTTACAGTTACAGGCAGCCAAGGGGTCCTGAGTCCGGTCCAGATGAGGGTTCACAGGACAAAGGCCTTGACCCAGAGCCTAACCTGAATTTTATTAATTTGTGAAGAAGGGAGTGACTTGCGGGTGAGCGACAGTGAGAGTGGTGGGGATTATGTGAGTGATGTGAGCGGGGCCAGCTAGGAGGCCTGAGAGCTCCTCTGCAATAAGCAGAGAGAAGGGTGTACAGAAAGGCCAATCTGCATAACACACTGAGGTAGCATTTAATGTTCAGGGGGCAGTGCCTCAGTTCTGATGTGTAAACCTTCTCTGCCCTGGGAAGTCGTAGTCTCTTATCTCGAGGCTCAGACCCAGCTGACAGTCCTGGAACTATGTGGCTCTGCCATCCTGCTGGGCTCAACTTTTTAGAGGAAAATAATGAAAGTGAAAAAACAGGGCTGTCACTTGGCATCAAAGATTACACATCAATACCTCAGCCAGCCCTATTTACATTGCTTAGAGCCAATTAAGGGAAAAAGGCAGTAGCTTAGCCAGCTCTGTGCGTATTAGTAGATGGAGATAAGGCCAGGTTTAGCTAAGGTGGAGATAATTGCTATTTATTCGAGGGAGCCATCCAGGTGGTCCTCTACAATACCTGACACCCGCAAGTTACTGGAGGAAAGGTTTATTTTGACCCAGGTTTTATAGAGGTTTCAGTCCCTAATTGGCTGGCTCCAAGGCAGGATGGCATGGTGGAGGGGAATCTCAGAGGAGAAACAGTCCATGGCATGGTAAGAAGGAGGCAGTGAGCCTTCCTTTCCCTTTTATCTCATCAAATCTACAAACCTATTGGTTAGTGCCACCCACACCCAGAAATATACCAAGCTAATCAATGGACTAATTTAGTTATCACACCCTTAATCTATAGTCACATAGATCCAACCATCCATGAGCACCTGAGGCTTTGGAGAGATGCCTGTATTCAAGCCACAGTGCTGTCTAATCCTGATAACTGACCTGGACAGATGGAGTGAGACCAGACTGAGTGTGTGTGACATGGGAACTGACCTGGGACCCTGTGTAAGCTTTCCTTACTCCCATCCTGTGGATAAACATTATCTCGGAATAGCACATCTGCAATAACATTCGGAGAAGAAAGTAGAGAGTTAATTATCTCAGGACAGCGCATTAGCACTAACGTGGATAGGGGAGAAAGTTACAAGAAGCTGAAACTTAAGTTTTTACAAGGATTAGAAACCTAACCCTATTGGCACATACAGAACAAGAGGAGGTGCATTGGTCAGAGTTAAGCCATAACATTCCCCTCTGATGTAGTGGCTGAGGCCAAATCTTTGGCCTAATATGCTATGGGTCCTGGGGAATAAGTTCATAGGCTTGCTGACTGATCATCATCAGCTTTATGTTCTGCATTTGTTGTCTAATATATACAGTTAGTCTATTGATTGTACAAGGACCTATTGAAGTCAAGAGTAGCGGGGCTGGGGATTTAGCTCAGTGGCATAAGCATCTGCCTTGCAAGCAGGCAGTTGTGAGTTTGATCCCTGGTACCAATAAAAGTGAAAAAGACAAAAAAAAAAAAAAGACAGATATTTGAAAACCCCTTTTGGAGTGTCTGGAATGGAATTCTGCCTTATGTTCTGTTCTTGCTTGGACCATTGCTAGAGTTGCTACTCTTGATTTTTTTTCTGCAACTTCCTATACACCCTCAAGTTGAGCTTTTCCTATCTTCTTTCACATTCTGGCCCAGCCAGACATTTTTACTTGAAAACAAAACTACTTTCTTTGTCCCTCTCTTTTTTACTTATTACCAGCCAATTACCTTTCCTCTCACTTTTCAGACAACATTGAAACTTTCAACAAAACCCTTGAAGTGATTTTCTTTCAGTAGTCTAAAATATATTGAATCATTTCATGTGTTTTCACCACCTTAAAATGCTACACTTTAAAACTGTAAATTTCTTAACTGGCTCAAAAACAGTATGGCTTGGTTTCACTTGGTAAACTTAATATGATTTTTTAAATCCACAAATATAAACAATTTGGTCTGGGTGAGAAGGGGGCCCAAATGCATACCGATGGACAGCCTGGGCAGTGCCCAGGTCAAAGGATCCAGTCGGGGGGCCATATGCCATTTTTCCCTATCAGCCACTCCTGAGAAGCAAAAGTCATTAGTCTTCCTTTAAAAACAGGCTCCCCATAACCTTCAGCCCACCTCTCAAATTCTTTGAAGTGATCAAACACAAGGCTAAGGGGCGTGCTGGATTTAGATTCAGTTTGCCCCATGGCCAGCAGAGATGTCAGTTCTTCTCTCCTGTGGGAGAATCTAAGAGACAGAGATAAGATTAGGAGGAAGAGACAGAATAACAATGAGACAAAAATAATGGTCAGAATCGCTTTTGCCTGTTTTGGGCTCGTAGAAGAGGTTCCTAGGAGAGAATGTTCTGTTAGAGTTGGGTAACCAAAAGGGGAACAGTTAGGCCAAACAGACATACAGACAGACATACAAGACAAGACAAGCTGCAGCAAAAATGGTCTTTGCTCAAAAATAGGTCAAATTTTGGGATCTGGAGGGATTAACAAATTAACCAACAGAGCAGTTTCCCACTGGGGCAGAGTCACAAACGGACGAGATTCGTCCCAAAAAACCAATTGACTCTGTCCTCAAGAGGTTCCCGCTCCCCAAATTGAGAGCGTCCCCTCCAAAAGTACAAATTGACCGTGGTCCAAACAAACCCTCCAGAGTACTTACTTTTAGGTGTTTAGAATTGAGTTGGGGGTCTTGCTTCCACCCCAGACGAGCCCCTAAATAAGATAGCTCGGACCCCGGAATAAAATCCAAGGAAGCAAGGAATCAAGAAATTTGGAGCAAAGGCTTTTATTTCAGGCCTGGCGACGCAGCCCCCTTAGGATCGACCCAGAGACTGCATGCCACAGAGACTGAAGAAAGGGATTTTAAAAGCAAGAGAGAGAGAAAAAAAAACCCACAGAGCTGTTAAGCTGTTGACTTAGTCCTGATAGCCTCTGGAAACTGTAAAGCTGTGGACTTAGTTCTGATAACATCTGGAGCTTTGGGTGCCTTTCCTTACTCCCATCCTGTGGATAAACATTCTCAGAATAGCACATCTGCAATTACACTTGGAGAAGAAAGTAGAAAGTTAATTATCTCGGGAAAGCTCATTAGCACTAACATGTGGAAAGGGGAGAAAGTTACAAGAAGCTGAAACTTAAGTTTCTACAAGCATTAGAAAACCCTATCAGAGCATACAGAACAAGAGGAGGCACATTGGTTAGAGTTAAGCCATAACAGTATTATGAGCTATATAACAAAATAGCTGTGTATAAACTGAATACACAAAGACTTCAAAAGTGATGGGACAAATCTGAAAACTGAACAGAACTTGCAGAATGAAAATACATACAAGTTGCAACTAAAGGCTGTGACCAGGTTTAACATTAAATTAGACACAGATGAAGAGAGAATTAGTGACCTGAAGGAGATTTGAACAAATAAACAAGGAAATGAAGAGGAAAGCCAGATTAAAGGCAAAAACAATGGAATAAAATGGTGTAATCTGGGCTGGGGATTTAGCTCAGTGGTGTAAACCCCTGCCTTGCAAGTGCATGGTCGTGAGTTCAATGCCCGGCACCAAAAAAAAAAAAAAAAAAAAAAAAAGATGTAATCTGGTCTTAACTAGATGTCTAGACTGAGAAAATTGGTGGGTGCTGTATTTCAAAAAAAGAGGAGCTGAGAATTTCTGACAACTCATAGTAGACACTAATATTCAGAAACTAGTTCTTGGAAGTGTTTTCGGCGCGGTTAGAAGACAAAATCTAAAGTAAAGTGGCCTTTATTTTAAGAATATGGAGAGAAACTCCGCGACTGCCGGGGTCTGGCTTTCTGTGCTGGACGCGTGGTGTGGGAGGCATACTTACAGCTTGGGTCTGGCGTGGTCCTAAAGCGGCCTTACTGATGCGCCAGCAGCCCATTGGAACTCATTCCGCAACACAGGTAAGTTGCCTAGGGGCGGGGAAATGCCCTCAAGGTAAACGTCCCTTGGCCCCGCCTCTCACTGCTGTAGTGTCCGGGCTAGGGCAAGATCCTTTCAGTTATATTGGTAGCCTCAACTAGGGCGGGTAATTCCACTATCCAGACCGCATGGTGGACCTGTGGGAAACAAAACATGAAAAAGCATAGATCAGCTCCAGTGGACCAACAGCTTAATGATGACAGGTTTCCTAGGAGCAATAACAGGAACAAGAAAACGTATGCAATGGGATCATCAGCGTATCACCAAAAAAAAAAAAAAAAAAAAGACAACTTTAAATCTAGGTTTTCTTTTCAGTTATTGGAGTTAAATAAAAACGTTTTAAAAAATCAAAGGGGTGTGACGGCATACACCTATAATCCCAATATTCAGGGAGGCTGAGGCTGAGGGTCACCATGAATTTGAGGCCAGGCTGGGCTACAGTATAGTGAGGTCAAGACCAGCCTGTGGGATTTATCTCACACAGAATTTAGAAAGATACTTATATCCTCGAAGGCTCATTAGGGAAGAAAAACTGAAAATAACCCAGAGGAATGACGCATCCAGGAAGCATGAGAACACCCACCCACAGGCGCAGGGCATTTTGCAGAAGATCTGACCAATGAACAGAAGCAAAGATGTCAACTTAATGATTAAACTAAATGCAAACAAATAATAACATAATTCTACATCCACCAACCTAGCAGGTGTCTTAAAGTTCAGATGTACCAAGCTTTAGTGAGAATAAAGGTCATGGAGAATTTACACATCTTATTAGTAACAAAATAATTTACTATAGATGCATATATTGAGATATATGTGTATTTTATACTTAAAAGTTGACTGAAAAAAAAGCAAGTTACAGAATACCCCCTACTAAGACTAAAAAGATGCTAAACAAGACCCTCGAGGATACATACTTAGATGGTAAAATTATAATTAAATATTCAGAGTAGGAATGTGGTGGGAGGGGCGCCCAGATCTTTGAAGGAATCCTTCGTGTTCAGCATCTTAAGCCAAGAGATAGGTACTCAAGTTTTCACTTTACCGTCCTTTAAGTCTTATTTATGTAACATTTATATTCATACAAGTGAAACTGTGAAAGAGTGAAAGAAAGTAAGTCTAACCTGGATGCAGGCCTGTAATTCCAGCACTCAGGAGGCTGAGGCAGGAGGATCGCCGCAAGTTCGAGATCAGCCTGAGCTACAAAGTAAGGTCAAGGCCAGCCTGAATCATATATAGTGAAACACTGCCTCAAAAAAAAAAAAAAAAGTAATGTCTAGGTGTATATGGTTTTTTTTTTTTATTATTTTTAGTGCCTCAGGCATCCTGAAAATACAGGGTGCCACTGACCCCATCCCCCAGATAGAAACTGTCTTAAAATCTGCCAGGGTGGCACCGGCTAGGTGACCTTGATCTTAGAGATGCCCTCTGGGCACTCGTGGGCGCCCCCTGCTGGCCATTGTAACTCTGACCCCTCCCGACAGCGTGTCTGTCCCAGAGGCCCCGCGGTGACACAGCTGGCAGAATGACAGAAAAGGGTAGATGAGACTTTACAGTTTGCTCACACTTTGAGGTTTGGAAGCAACCTAAAAATAAAACCAGGAGTTCTTGTGCACTTCAGAGGCGGGGGCCGGAGTCTCTGGAGACCAGTGAGATTCACCGGATGTCTGGGTTCTGATCCCCAGGCCGCGCTGCAGGGATTCCTGGCGGCACCCGCACATATAGTCAGCAGGGGGCAGCAGGGAGCACCCCGGGACAGTTCTTGCAGACCGGTTCAGCCTCCTGGTGGGGGCAGCGCTTCCTCTCCTCTCCTCTCCCAAAGTGTCCCTGGATAAAGGGACTTCAATTGAAAAATAGCCACATCTACCAAGGGATCTTCCTTTCATAATCCTCCAAAGTGGAGCCATAAATAAAATTTTCAAGGGTAAAAAGAAGGGAAAAGCCACTTTCCAGGACCAGAGACCTGGCTCGGAGGTCAGGATGAAAACAGCAACACACTGGGAGCTCAGGCCTGGCTTGGAAAGGGCTACGGACAGAGACTGTTTGAGGGCCACGTCATCCTTGGCTCTTGGAGCCCGAGAGGCCACTCCACATCTGGAGCTTCTCTTGTCGTTGTGCCAGTTGCCCTGTCCTCAGAGGGTGTCACCCTGGAGTCTTCCAGGGGTTTCTGAGATGGAAGGCTTCGCCAGGGACGGGTGAGGGTGAGGGGGGTGGAGGACGGGGAGGGGGATAGGAGGAAGTTGAGGGGGAGGAGGAAGGGAAGCAGGATGAAGGGAGGGGGAAGAAGGAGGAGGAAGAGGGGGAGGGGGAGGAGGAGGGGGGACAGCGCCATCAGGTAGTCCCTTGACAACCCACTCACCAGTTAAACACATTCCACATCCTTCTCCCCTCAGAGAATCGACCAAGACAAGCCACGGGTGGTGCCAGAAGTTCATTTGAACAGTGAGGGGTGAAGGGGTTGGGGAGAAGCTGGCTCTGCAGAGCAAACTGGGGCCCAGTAAAAGAGGAAAAGCAAAAAAGAGCAAAAGTAAAAGTATGCCTGCTCTAGAAGATACAGAGTGGGCCATGGAGTCAGCATTGCGGGCTCCTCGCGGGGTCTGGGTCCTTGGATGTTACCTGCATCTGGCGGGGTCCTCGAGAAGCTCTGTACTTCCCCAGCCAGCTCTGCCACGCCCTGCCTCCTATCATTTCCCCAGACACACAAATCCCATCATTGTTACGGGGTGCCGAAGGAGCGTCGGTCTCTGCCTTGTACAGCCCCCTGAAGTGGAAGGGGCTGAGGACTCTCCTTACAGAACCCCGGGGCCCGTCCCTTCTAAAGAGCAGAAGTCTGTCTGGCTCTTGGCTCTGGAGGCTGAGTTCAAGAATGAGAGGCTGGCATCAGGTGAGGTCCTTCTTGCTGGGTTACCCCACGTGGGGACAGAAGGGGGTGCTGAACATGTCGTACAGGGGCATTAACTATTCATCCATAGATCCACAAGAGCAGTGCCTCTGCGTGCAGACTCCTCCCAGTCAGCTCATTGCCCTGTGTGAGGTCAAGTTGCCTTCCAGCAGGTGAATTTTGGAAGACACACTCATTCACACCGCAGCAGTCAGGGCACGCAGTGCCTTGAAGTTTATTATATTGTCTTCTCTTATCTGGTTGCCTAACCTCCCGCCCTCCACTTTTCTAGATTGGGTTACCAAAGGGTAATGGCGTCAGCCAACTCCAGGATAAACACTTTCCATTGTTCACTTCCAGCTTCCAGTAAAGCCCAAATTGCTTGGCATGGAAAGCAAGACCTTTCAGGATCTGGGCCCTCTGACCCTCCAGGCTGCTTGTTTGTCATGGCTCCCACGAACTCCAGCGTCCAGCCTTGGCACACTGGACCTCAGCTGAGCAGAGAACCATCAGGGGAGTAGGAGCTTTGTCTGCAGTGGCCTTATTCTTCCCCACCCCAGACTCTTCTTCCTGGAAAATCCTAGGAACCCTGCAAAATTCCGTTCAAGAATACCCTGTCTGGGGTCATCCTCACCCCTCCCTTTGAACAAAGCCGCTGTTCCCACCCCTCCCGGTGCCATTCTTGAAGTGCACTCAGTCCCTGGATCGGTGCGTTTTTCTTTGATGGCTGTTGTGACAGACACTGGCGGACATCCCTGGTTTCCAAGGGTGACAGAGTGCTGGCTGAGTCAGCAGCCCCTCTTCCCACGCTGCTCCGTCTGTCTTGCATCCTTTTCTACCCACCCGCTCTCTCTAATGCCCTGTGCAGCCCTGCAGATGGGAAAGGGCTGGAACACTTTGTGCCTGGCACACACAGGAGCACGGTGATGTGTGCAGAATAGCATAGAAGGGGCCGGATTATTCGTGGTCTCTGACAGCTCCAACTGTCCCTGGCTTTGGGGTGAGGTGGCCTGTTCCTCTGCACATACCCTCTGCAACCCCAGCGTCTTCAGCTGAACTGCAGGCTCCTGAAGGACTCTACAAGGAGGTCTCTGTCTGCAGGACTGGCGGGGACAACAAGGCTTGAGAAGCTGAGCCGGTGACCGGTCTGGTTGTGTGCCTCTCCCGACACACACACACTCACTGTGTCTAAGTGGGACACCAGCCAGCTGTCTTCCCACTGCAGTGACCCAAGTACCCCAGTAAAGCACACCATGGCTCGGGGTTCGGGAGCCTATTTCTGTTCAGAACATGAGAGTGCTGTGATCAGAGCCACAGGGACCACGTGCCCTAAATTCCTAGTCTCAGCAGGGCGTGCTGATGCATGAGCATTATCCCAGTCCTCCGAGAGGCTGAAACAGGAGAATTGCAAGTTCAAACCAAGCCGGGGCAACTCGGTGACACTTGTTTGAAATAAAAAATAATAAAAACGGCTGGAGATGAGCTCAGTCTGAAGGCCTGTGTTTGACCGTCAGGACTAGGGGAGCACACAGTCTTCCGCTACACCGCAGGAGGACTGTCCTGCGCAATGGCTTGAGCGTGGCCAGGACTGAACTGGAGAGGGCTCGGACGTCAGAGGCCAGCCCGCCGTGAGGCCACGGGGTTCCGCCTGATGCCAACCTGCGCGTGTGCCAACAGACCCTGCCATGGTTGTGCAGGGGTTCTTTCCCCCACCTTTCTGGGTCTCGTCTTCACTTCCCCGCCTCCTCCTCCTCCTGGCCACCCTTCTCGGTCCTCATCCCCGGAGGCCCTGACCCTGGCTCCGGGCCCGCCCGGAGGCCCCGGGACTGTCTGAGCCCTTCCGGAGGCACAGGCCATGGACCCTAGGAGTCCAGGTGATTCGGTGGACATCTTGTAATCTCTACTGATCATGATCATTTTCACATCTCCTTTAAATAAAACAAGATTGAGAACACGAACATAGTCTAGTCCGTAAGTTTGTAAGTGGCCGGAAGGCGCCGGCAGCTCCCAGGGGTGCTGACTCCAGGGGCGACCTGGTGCGCTCTGGGGGAGACCCTTGCTCCACGCTGAGCTCCGTGCGTAGCCTGGGAACAGGCGGGCAGGCTCGGGGGGTGCTCTGGACCCCAAATGACCCAGAGGAGCGGAGGATAAGATTCAGGGGGACAGCACCTTCCTGGATCCCCAGGCCTGGAGTATGAAGCCCAGCCCTGCAGGAAGCACCCAAGCCAGCCCCTCTGCCCTGCTCCGCACACACTAGAAGGCCCGGCTGTGTGTTTGCTGCCCCCTGGTGGCCGATTCTGGAGAGAGCCCTGGGTTCAGGGTGGGGTTTGGCCCACTTCTTTCAGGAGCTCAGGGTCCTCTTCTGCCTCTGGGAAAAAGGGGTGAATGCTTTCATGAGTCTCCGGCCCATCCCGGGCTGCTCCCAGATATCCGGGCCTAAAACTTGGCTCGTCTTTTTCAAGGAACTCCGATGGTGGTAGTGCGGACACAATGCGCGCCACGTCCTGCACCGTGCACCTGCTGAGAGGAAGTGTGCCATTCAGTCCACTGGACTTTGAAACAGCCTCGGGTTTGCCTCAGCTTGAAACAGCGGGTTGAGGGTCTCTAATCTGAAAATCTGGGGCTGGGGATACAGCTCAGCGGCACAACACCTGCCTGGTAAGCATGAGGCCTTGAGTCCAATTCCCAGGACCAATAAAAATAAAAATCTGAAACTCTTTGAACACCGACATGATGCCACAAGTGGAAAATCCTATACCTGACCTTATTTGACAGGTCACATTCAAAACATAGACACCCCAAAAATACCATCTGCAGTTGCCTTGAGGTTACGTGTGTGAGGAACAGGAATCTGATGACTGAAATGCCTTCAAGAAAGCCTTGCAGGTGTTAGCTGATTGACTCTTGTGGACAGACTCGAAGACAAATCTTTTCCACCGTGATTTCTGCTGTGTGGGTATTATCAGGTAGGTGATAAACACCAAGATGAGCCTGTACCCAGAATCTGAGACGAACTGCTTCGTGAAGGATGGATGTCAAGGAGTTTCGATGGAGGTAAGGCATTCATTCCAGGAGGCACATGTGTTACTTAGAGAAGGAGGCTGGCTTCTGATTTTCTGACAATAAAGAGTTTCAGGCTTCCTTCTCAGGGAAACTCCCTTCTCTCTTGATTAGCATCTCCCATAATGTGACTCTGACACAATCAGAAGCCAGCAAAGTCTGGGTGTCTTAATTCATGTCCACACTTTCATTTGCACATCTCGGCTGGATGCAGGCTGTTTCATTTAATGATGTACATAGAAGCATCATGATAAGCAACTGGGATGGTGATGGCTCTCATTAGCTGGTTTAATATTTTACTTAGCAAAATCATTTTTAATTCTTCAAGGACTACACTGAATACTCCTGCATTTGTAGCCTCATGATACAGTCTAGGCCTTCATGTAGCATACCCTTCACTTTATTTTGAACCACTGGCATGTTCATAGAGCTATCTTTTGTTCTATTACTAATTTTTTTTTCTTTCGGGAAGTAATGAGACAATCTACAAACAAAACATTCATTACATCCATTTAAAACTTTAACCTCATTCTTGAGAATTTATGTTATGTTATGTTTCTCATTCTTGAGAAATGACTAAAAATCACATAGTGATGAATTTTTTTAAAATAACCCCACATATGGGTTTGGTTAAGCAAATTATATCACCTTCATGTAACAGTAAAAATTTAATTATACGCTGTGTGTAAACTACTCTCACAGAAAGTGTTGCCCGCGGGAAATAGCTAATCTGAGATTACACACGACCTGCCTGGGCTCTCAAGCTGTAGGCTACTTCCAATCCGGCCCGTTACCTCTTACTCATGGGCAGGGCCGGAAGACACGTGACTTCTGGTCAGAGCTTGACTCACAGGAGAGCTGTTGATGTTTCTTTCCATATCTTCTACTGATTCACCAGGCCTCTGAATTCCTAGGAAAATGAAGGAAAAGTGTCATGGTAGAGGCCACATGTGAGGATGATTGCATTAGCTGTGCAGACCCCTGAGACTGTAGGTTCACTGGTTTTGGAGAAAGTAGAAGCAAACTGCTCTTTGCTGCCAAGAGGTGACTGATCCCTTAAGAGTCACCTGCAATCATAGCCAGAGAATGGCCAAGCAAAGGGCAGTCGGGTACTCTTGGCATGGCCAGCAAGAACTTGTAGGGTGCCGATGCCATGCATTATCTTGCCCAGTAACTTTCTTTTATATGTTTAGTCTTTGTGTTTCTTGCCTGGTTTTTATGTTGTTAGCAAAAACAATGCATGCTTGCCTCCTATCCTAAGTTTTCATAATATGAAACTTTCTCTCAAAACAAGCTGGGGAGTGTAGCCACTTTCTAATGCACTCTGTAATAACTTGACTAAGAATTAATTTCCTTGTTCCTTGAACACTTGATAGTACTTGCCAGTAAAGGTTATAAAGTTTTGTTGGGTTTGACAGACATAAAAGTCCTAACTCTAGCTGTGAATTAGCTGGGATAAGCATGGCTATCTTGGCCCCCCTACTGAATGCAGCTGTACAATCCGGACACAATCACACAGCAGGTACATTAGGAGTCTGGGAAGTAAATATTACCAGGTAGACTGGGCTAGCAGAACAGAATCAAGGCGACTAAACTGGCCACGAGTTCACTGTTTTTCCCTACAGTATCCTTCAGCGTAACCCAGCATCACCCCGAATTTTCAAGGAGGCCTGGACGCAGAGCCAACTCCAGAGCAGCCTTGTGGTTCTGGCTGGAATGGCAGGAATGGGATTCCTAATATTCAGGGAGAGTGGGGATCCCCCACTTCCACTTTCCCCTTTTTGTTCACATTTCAGTCTATAGGAAATCCTGCAGTGGCAACAAATAGAACCTGCAGAACCCAACCCTGAAGAAGCCGACCCTGCCTATCCAGTCAGTGATACTGTTCCCAAGTCATCGGCACCAGATCTTCCTCCTCTTTTCTCTGCCCTCGCAGATCTTGGCTGCACGCAGAGGGCGTCTGTGAAAGCCTGTGGCAGGATGGGTGAATCCAGCTTTGTCTGCGGACAGGGAAGCCCCACAGAACCAGAACGTGGCAACCAGGGAGAACATGGAGAAGAGGGGAGAGGAGCCCTGGAAAACGGTGCTGCGGGGCATGCATAAACACCAGCACCTTTTCAGAGCCTCTGCAGGATGGGCCTACGAGCCAGAACTAAAAGCCAGACCACTGCTGCGGCCACAGGCCATGCACTGGGGCAGATCTGAGCAGCATGGCAAAGCCTCTGAGAGCCACGGCCTGGTGAATGGACATTGGAGTTTGTGGCCTGATGGCACCAACTTGACATCTTGCTAAGCCAAGAGCAAAAACACTCTGCACACAATTTAAATAAAACCCAGCACTGTGTAACATAGCATTCAAAATATAATCCCAAATCATGTTGCAGTCACAGTAACACAAAAAGCTCAACTAAAAATCTTAAGATGTGTGAGGAGAGCATCAAGGATATTCACCCAGATATTCTACCTATTACTCTTCCTGAACAGTGACAGTTTCTTTTGCTATATCCCAACTGTATTAGTCACTTTATTGCCAGGAGAAAATGCCAGATGTCCACCGTTTAATTGAGATATTTATTTGGACCACAGTTTCCAGGGGCCTCAGCTCATGGTTACGACGCTGTGTGGTAGAAATAGCATCGTGGAAGGGCTTGGTGGAGGAAAGAGGCTCAATTCGTGGGGGGCAGCAAGCAGAGAGAAGAGGAAGGAGCCAGGGGCAAGACACCGGTTTTCACATCATACCCCTAATGCCACCTTCACCCAGCACAGTGCGGCCCCATGGGCCAGTCATCTGCTGAAAACCCACCTCTGCACCTGAGTCTTTGGGTAGACATTTTAGATCTAAACAATACAAACCTGTACAGATTTTAGAATGACCTGGCAAAAGCTTTAGAGTCACTTCATAGTAGATACAGTATTAAAAAGTGCCCCAAACAGTATCTCTGTAGGCACTGAGGTAAGCAAAGGATTAGCAAAATATGTGCTGGTAGTGTAAGAGAAAGATAACAGAAACACGGCAAAATGTTCAAAACTGTAAGAAGAGTTCTTTTTTTTTTTTTTTTTTTTTTTGAGACACGGTGTCGCTGTGCAATTCAGGCTGGCCTTGAGCTCACTTTGCAGCCTCGGCTGGTCTGGAACTCACAACGATCCTCATGCCTCAGCCTCCCGAGTGCTGGGATTACAGGCGTGAGCCACCACACTCGGCTAAGGGTTCTTGATGTACTGTTTCTGCAGCTTTAAAGTTGAAAATTCTCACACATATTGCAATGGTTGCATCTCAGAAGTCCTGCGCTGTGCTAAGTCCAAGAATTGAGACACCTAAGATGACATGTATTCACTCACACCCCACTCACAGGGGATTGTGGGAAAGGTAATGCTGGGATAGTGGAAAGAGGATCGGTGAATTCCAGGGACTAGAGGTCAGGACGGACATCGACTGACTTCAAAGGTTATGGGCACTTTTGGGGATGTCGACAATGTTCTGAATCATGACCTTAGTGGTTACTATGCTACTGCATGCCGTTGTCGAAACTAATCAAGTGAAAACACTTCAGGTTGTCAATTTTATTACATGTCATTTATTCTTCATAGCAGATGAAATTGTATCTCCCAAAAGAGACATGTGTAAATTCTAACCCTCAGGACCTGAGAATGCAGCCTTATTTAGAAATCCAATCTTGGGCTGGGGATTTAGCAGCATAAGCACCTGCTTTGCAAGCGCCTGGTTGGGAGTTCGACCCCTGGTACCAATAAAAATAAATAAATAAATAAAACAGGAATCTAATCTCTGCAGGTATAAGAAAAATTGAGGCTTTTAAAACTAACCCGCGATGTTTACCAGGTCGGTCCCTGCCAGACCGGTGAGTGGAGCAGCGGCTGCTGGGAATCCCACCCAGCCTAAGGGAACTCTCTTCCTGGCCTGGGGACCAAGCTCTGATTCCCTGCTGGGTCCAGTGAGTGGGGCCACCGCGGGGAACACAATCCCAGACTGGCAGAATTCTCTCGCACACCTGGAACAACACTTGAAGCTCTAAAATACAGGAAGATGACAAAACGAAAGACCAAAATACAACCTAAAACATCCAGCCCATCCCAAGAAAGCCTAGGAGCCATGTACATAGAAGAAAACACATGCCACATAACTGAAATACCTGAAATAATAGAAACTGAAATAAAGAAGCAACTCTGGGAAGCCTTAAAGGAATTCAAACTAGAAATAATCTCCCAGGTAAAACAAGAAATGATAAAAGAAATGAAGTGGATGCTAAACATAGCTAAAGAAGACGCAGTTAAAAAATCAGAGGAACTAAACAAAAAGATAGAATCCCTGGATGAACAATATAAGAAACAAACAGAATACATGAAACAGATGCAAAGAGATACACAGGAAATCAAAAACTCCATTGAAAGTTGTAAAAACTGCCTCAATGAATGTGAAGATAGAATCTCAGACCTCGAAGACAAGATTGCAGCCAGTGAACAGGAAAGAAAAGATTTTTAAAACTAACAAGAAATCAGGAAATAACAATTCAACACCTGCAAGATGACGCAAAGAGAAATAACATAAGGTTGATATGGATAAATGAAAAAGAAGGGGACAACATAAAGGATGTCAAGGGCATATTTAGAGAAGTAATAGCTGAAATTTTCCCAAACATGAGATTGGAAACTGATATCAAGATCAATGAAGCATATAGAACTCCAAATAGCCATGACCAAAATAAATCTACACCCAGACATATAATAATGACCATCCCAGAAATCGAACAAAAGAATAGAATATTAAAGGCTGTCAGAGAGAAAAGACAGATGACCTATAAAGGAAAACCTATCAGAATCACAGCAGACTTCTCAGCACAAACAATAAAGTCAAAAAGAGCATAGAGTGAAGTATTTCAGATCCTAAAGGAAAATGATTTCCAACCTAGGCTGATGTACCCTGCAAAACTGTCCTTCAAAATCAATGGAGAAATAAGATACTTCCATGACAAAGATCAGCAGAAAAACTTCATGATCACCAAGCCAACCCTGCAAAGAATACTGAAAGACAGCCTAGATACATTTAGGAAAAAACCACTAAACAAAGCAGACAATTAAACAGAACAGAAAGATAAACATGCTACAGCAGGATAACATGCCAACAATAAACCAATATATAACAGTTCTAACTATTAATGTAAATGGTCTCAATACACCAATAAAAAGAAACAGACTGGCAGAATGGATCAAGAAACAAACTCCTACCCTATGCTGTTTATAAGAAACCCATCTAACCCAGAAGGATACACACAGACTGAAAGTCAAAGGATGGAAAACAATACTTCATGCAACAGGAACCTAAAAAAAAGCGGGGGTAGCTATTCTGTTTGCAGACAAAGTGAACTTCAGAAGGGATAAAGAAGGTCACTACATACTGGTTAGGGGAAAACTCCAACAGGAAGAGAAAACTATCTTAAATATATATGCACCAAACTCCAGAGCACCCAGTTATATAAAACAAATACTAACAGAAATGAAAAACCAAATCAGCATTAACATAATTCTAACAGGAGATCTTAACACACCACTGACACCAATGGACAGATCAACTAGACAGAAAATCAACAAAGAAATAAAAGAACTGAATCACACCTGTGAACAAATGGACTTAATAGACGTATACAGAGTACTCCACCCAACAACAACAGAATACACATCTTCTCAGCAGTACATGGGACATTCTCTAAAATAGACCATATATTAACTCACAGAACATATTTAAATAAATGCAAAAGAGTTGAAATGATCCCTTGCATGCTATCGGACCAAGCGCTATTAAATTAGACATTAATGATAAAAGATACTGCAAAAATCCCACAAACACATGGAAACTGAATAACACACTCTTGAGTAATCAGTGGGTCACATAGGAAATTAAAGAAGAAATTACGCAATACCTACAAGAAAATGAAAATACAGATACAACTTACTGGAATCTGTGGGATGCAATGAAAGCTGTCCTCAGAGAGGAAAATTTATTGCACTGAGTTCCCACATCAGGAAAACAGAACGAATACAAATAAACAACCTGATGCTACACATCAAAGAGAAAAAGAAGAGCAAGTCAAGCCCAAAGCCAAAAGAAGAGAGAAAGTTATAAAAATCAGAGTAGAAATCAACACAATAGAGACTAAGAAAACAATCCAAAGAATCAACAAATCAAAAAGTTGGTTCTTTGAAAGAAAAAATAAAATCGATAAGCCCCTAGCCAATCTTATTAAAAAATGGGACGAAAAAGCTCAAATGCATGCAATAAGAAATGAAAAAGGTGAAATCACTACAGACTCTATAGAAATACAGATTATCATCAATACCTATTTCGAAAACCTCTACTCTCAAAGGTTTGATAACATAGAAGAAATAGACAGATTTTTAGAAACATATGAAGTATCAAAGCTAAATCAAGAGGATGTAAAACTGCTGAATAACCCAATCTCTATCAATGAAATTGAGCATGTAATTAATTCCTTACCTACAAAGAAGAGCCCAGGCCCAGACAGATTCACTACAGAATTCTACAAGAAATACAAAGAAGAACTAATGCTGACACTCCTCAAACTCTTCAATGAAATTGAAAGGGAAGCAATCCTTCCTAAGTCATTCCTGGAAGCAAATATTACTCTAGTACCAAAAACTGAGAAAGACCCAACTAAAAAAGAGAACTACAGACCAATCTCCCTAATGAACACAGATGCAAAAATCCTCAATAAAATATTGGCAAATAGGATGCAGCAAATCATCAAGAAGATTATACACCATGACCAAGTGGGATTCATCCCAGGCATGCAGGGATGGTTCAACATACTTAAATCAATAAATGTAATCCACCATATCAGTAAAGCCAAAAGTAAGAATCACATGATCATTTCTATAGATGCAGAAAAGCCTTCGATAAGGTCCAACATTCATTCATGATAAGAA